TTTCTTTGCTTTTGCTTCTTCTCTAGCTTTTGCTTCAGCTTCTTCTCTAGCTTTCTCGCCAGTAGGCTTGGGTTCTTTTGTCTTCCAGCAGCTAATGCAGCAAGTTGTTTTTCACTAAGTTTTCTCTTTGGTCTCTCTGGCTTTTTTCTTGTTTTTGTTCCTTCAGTTCGGATAAAATTTGCTCACGAATTTCTTTCTTCAATGCTTCAACATCTATAACCCTTAGGTCTTGTCCGTAGGGCTTGTCTGAGTCATTTGACTGCAGATAAAAAACAAAATTAAAAACTTTAACCGATGTAAAATGAGCTTGTCAAAATCAGAGCGAGAGTCTATTATATTAAATGACGCAAGAGGGAATACAACATCCTTTCTATTACGTAAGTCAGAGTAAAGATGGTAAAATATACGTAAGAAAAAGAAAGGTTCCATTAGCGAATGCAGAAAGCGACAACATTAAGGTGCATGACAAGGGTGAAGTCCACGAAGCCCATATAAAACCTTCTGTTCAAACTGAGCCACCAAAAGAACAAGAAGAAAAGAAGCCAGATGTACTTTCAATAACGAACCAAGAGCTTATTGCAAAGTTCGTGAATTTCATTGAAAAACAAACCGAGTCAAAGAATCCTGACCCGCCAGTGAAAGAAGTTGAGACAAAAGAGAATGTACAGTTCATTGAAAATGTCAAGAAAAACTTCCACCACGAATGCCAAGAAGAAGAGTGAGAATAATGAAGTAAATAGATATTTTTATCTGAAGTAAATACATGCAGAACGAACAGCTAAACGAATTTACTCCAGCAGAGCATATTCATCAGATTCGCTCATATTTCGATATCATAGACAATGCAGTTCAAATTGGTGACACTAATAGAAAATATTCTGACGCAAAGATTCCATCACAACCTGGAACTGCTAAAGATAACACATGGGTAACATTCAATCTCTCACCTCCTGGTGAAAATATGTTGGACCTTTACAATACATTCATTACGTATAAAATGGAAGGTCAATTTATTGTAGATAAAGAAATTGGTTCAGGTTCCAATAAAACAAACCCACCAGGATTTTGGATTGGTTTCGATGACGCTTTCTATGCAGTTGCTGGATATCAAATCCTTGCAAATGGTCGTATCGTATATTCTCAAGACAACGCAAGAGAAGAAGCATATATAACTTCAAACTCACAAACTACTGAACAAATAAAGAAAGTAGATGTTTTCTCAAAGACTCGACATGAAGATGTATGGAGTCATTCGGGAACATGCAGAACAGGACAAATTGTTAGTGGTCCAATTACAGCAGGAAAATCATTTGATTTTAAGCTTCGTTTAAGAATTCCTGTTAGAAGATTCCTTCCATTAGAAGCTATTCGATTTATTCCAGCTTTTGCAGGAAACATTCAGCTTAAAGTAAAGTTCAGTAGCGACGCCTTACAATGCACATCTATATCTGTAAATGATATCATTGCTTCAATCCAACTCTTAAAGTTGCATTTGCTTCAGATTCAAATCCACCGACAAATAAATTTGTTCCATGGAATGAACCATTCACTATGATAACGAAGGCAGTAGAAGCTAGTGGAATAGTTACTATTACAACTGTAACCCAGCAACTATTTCGAACAAAGATGGATTTTAATGAATGTTTCATTCATCCAAAGTCATTCTCTTTAGACCCTAACATTTATACAGAACTTGTAGAACATTATACAAACGAGGCTTTATGTTTTCCTGTTAAAGTTATGGATTGGATTCCTATGGACGGTTCATTCTCAAAGAATACAGATAGTTCAAGTGCAACATTTACAGCAGCTTATACGCCTATTAATGTTAAAAGTATTTGGGCACTATTTAGAAAGAAAGACAACTATTATGTTAATTTTGAGAACCCTAAGTTTAAATATCTTCAGCTTTCCATGGGAGCTTATGGAAATATGCCTGCAGAACCTGAAAAAATCATATGGACCTGTATTTTATGAAATGGTTGCGAACGCTTGCAATACAAACAATGATATGATAGGATTTAATGAAGATGTTATGAGGTCATTGGTGGATGATGGTAGTGTGGAACATAAATGGGATAGCTATGACAACACACATTTCTTATGTGGTTTTCCAACAGAAGTGGACTTTTGCTTCCAGCAAGGTCAAACATCTACTGCTCCAATAACATACAAATTGTCTGTTAAAGGACCTATTGAACTAGCAACTGAAAATGTACCAAAGCCACTTATTGGATTTATGAGGGATTGTTGCTTTGCCATTCAGGTGCGTGCTAATGGAATCCCCATAATAAGATTAGATGACTATAACTTAGCTACGGACGACAGTGAGGAATAAAGGATGAACGTTTATTTTAAAGCTTATAAATGAGTTCTTCATCAAGCTCTCGTGAACCTTCACCATCTATGAAACAAACTTTACCAAACGATTATGGAGCACCTATTGAATATTTCTTACGAGCTGCACAATGGCAAAGAGCAGTCTCACCAAGGTTAGGTGTTCCACCAGCTCCTGTCAAAAATAGCATTTGGTCAAGTCCTTATATAAGATATGGTCTCCCACTAGGTTTGCTAGCTACAGCAGGAGCAGTTATGATGTTGAAAAGAAATAAAGCAAATGTTGTAAATAATACTGAAGTAGCTGAAGTTAAACAAACTCCAACACCTTCGCCAAAACCAACGCCTTCAATGACTCCTGAACCTATGGAAGTACAAACTCCTGTTCAAAAGTCAACTCCTAAACCGACTCCGACATTTAAACCAGAACCTACTCCTCAAATAAATCGTAAAACTCCTGCGTTTCCTTACTGAAAAAATAACGTTATTTTTATTTAATATTAAAATTTTTATTTGATTGAAATGACGACTAAAGTCACTGAAGCAATGAAACAAAAGTTTTTGGTAGAATACATTAAATCAGGAACTATTCCAGAAGGTTTTTACATTCATACTATGAAGGATGGTAGAGTTCAGTTTAGAAAGATAAAGCAACCATTAGATAAAGAAGGAATTTTGAGAAAGATTAAACTTCATGAGGACAACATTGCTGAACTTAAGAAGAAGCTAGAAGAGTTGGAGAAAGGAAGAGAGTTATAAAGCAATGAATTCAACAGGGTGAAAAAAGAGGTGAGATCTCACCACTTCACCTAAATTTATTTTTGTGCTATGTTTTCATACGTGTGAGGGTGGTGATATCATTAATTTTTAAGTTTATTTTTTTATTTTATTTTTTATTTTATTTTTATATAAATGACAGAACAAAAGCAACTCATACAAATCGAAAAATATAACAAACATACATTTAAACATTTATTCTTCCTTCCTGAGTATAACATGTTCTTTACACTTCATCCTAGACCAGTTGACTATACACTGACTGTGTATAAAGATTGTCATGGTAGTTTTATAAAACTTATGATGATGAAGGTAAGTTAACAAGACTATGCATTTCAAAACTTGAGAAACTTTATGACTTCAAGATGACTACAATAGAGTTAACATTGACGATGAAGATATAGAAGAAAATTTATGAGAACGTTTATTTTTTTACATTAGTGAAGTCGTTTGTGAAAACGTTAGTGAGGTGAAATGGTTGGCGGTTTTGTAAATATTTAAGGTTAAGTTAGTTTTTGCGTTTGATTTGTAAAATATATGTTAACGGTTTTGTAAAGTGTCAAATTCACATATAATGGGTAAGGAGGCTCGCAGTGCCTCCGTACACAACTAACCCATACTAACTGCGAAAACCCTTTTTGGGAAGGGTTTTATGTGGTACTGAGTTGTAATTTTTCCTGAATTTATCAAGAAATTCTTGAATTTGTTTTGCATTTGAAGACCGGCCGACATTTCTTTCAAGAGACGGCCAGAGCCTTTCAATCTTGCCGTTCTGGCGCGGCATATGGGGGAGAGTGTGGCGGATTTGAATGTTGTTTCGCATGAGCCAATTATAAAATTGGCCCATATTCTCTCCCCGTTGTCGGACCAGAAACAAAATGGCTTTTGATATAAGCCAATCGTTTCTTCGGCAACTCTTGTTGTAGATTCGGAAGATTTATTTGGCAAAATTTTTAAAGCCAACAAAAACCGAGATTTATCGTCTATTATACCATAAACAGGTAACCTCTGTGAACCGTATAAAAAATGAACATCTACATGCCATATGGTATCAGGTTTTGTTGCTTCATATGGCGTATAATATTTTTGAGGGGGCCTGTCACTTTTTGGTTCTTTGATCTCCAAAATACTGTAAATTCTTCTGAGTTTATTGTAGGAAACTGAATAAACATTTTGATCCATGTTTAAACGCCAAAACATCTTTTGGATTCCGCACTTATATTCCTGAAATTTTTGGAGAACATATTGCAAATTTTCAGGAGTAATATCATCTGGTGCCGGACCAGGTTTAACGTTTGGGGGCGTTAAATTTGCATTTGTGTATGCTGCTTTAAGTGTGTTTTTCGAAATTGATCTAAATTCACACTTCATTTCATCCTCGTATGGAACTCGCTTACACGCAATTAAATAATTGAGTTCGCGAGATTCAAGTTTTTCGCGTGTTTGAATTAACCACCAAGAAGGAATGGTTGGTCTACTCATAATAAAAAATGAAAAGCCAAATTCTCTCAAAAAGTTAAGTAGGACCAATTTTTTATAAAAAAAATCCAATTCCATTATGAATGTTAATTAATTTATATAATTATTGAATAAAAAATTTTCTTTGAGATTATGAAAAGTTCTTTGAAAAGTTATTTTTTCTCATTTTTAAATATTGTATTAGCCTATTTATTTCTAATCCAAATTAAATAACTTTAAATTCAATATTTAAAGAATAATTTTGAAGGAATTGAGTTACTTTCCCCGACGATAAAATTGAGAGGTTTACATTTTGACCGAACTTAGCATGCAACAATGTGACCAATTTTCTCAAAAAAATTCAGAGCTAATCGAGAAATTTTGGAAAAAAAAAGATCTGGGTAAATTTTTTTAATTTTAAAAATTGTATGGAAGCGGATGAACTTTTAACAAATCACAGCAATGTCATCAAAGCTAAAAATTCATCTCTCTCTAGTTCATTATCATTTTCATCTTCATCTAATTCATCTGACTATAAAAATGAATCTAATACTGTTCCTTTCAATTCATTTAGCATGGCTCCAAAGGACATGCCACCTCCTGACGAGCAGCTCAAAATCATTGAAAGTATTCCAGATCAAGACCAATACGTGGTGGGCCAAGATGCATACCTCATTCCTTCTGACTTTTTGAACCAATGGTTCAGTTATGTATATTCTGCAAGTGCTGAAGGAACATCTATGCCACCTAAAGGTCCAATTATAACGCGTAAAAACTACAATATTAGGACAAGAACACCAATTTTCGGCAGAGAGAAAGACTACACGCCTGTTACTAAGCCTACCTGGGAATACTTCCAAAAATGGTACGGAGGAATCGAATCTACAGTTGCTGTTGAATATGATGAGAAAGAAGAAAAAGCTACACCAGTTCTTGAAGCATTTGAAACTCGTATCAACTTTGGGGATGATTCTAAACCGTTAATTGTCCCTAAATTCATTTCTATCAAAGAATATCTCAAAAAATGTCTTGCATTATTTGATATAAAGTATTCCGAAGACCAAGAACCTAAAGATGAAGAAAACACTCCAGAAAAAACCGAAAATTCAAGCAATATCGTAAATAATGTAAATCCTTACGAACCAATCACTTCTACGGTCGAAGAAGATGCTCCAGTGGCAACAGGAGCTCCAGCCAACAATTCCAATCCCTATACAAACAATTCTGTCAATGAAGAAGAAGCTCCAATTTCTTTTTCAGATTCCAACAATGTACAGAACAATATACAACCATTGGTCGATTCTGATTCATCTTCTGATGACAAATCTCCAAAATTATCAGAAAATTCAAATATTATTTTCAATAATTCGGAATACAGCTCAGCGTATACGGCCACCGAGACAACCACTGAAGACCAGAACACAATGATTGACAATCCAACATTCAGCGACTTCAGATTATTCGATTATTACAATAAAACTCTTTCTAATCAACTCGAAATTGGAAAGTACTTAGATGACTACTCAATTGCCACTGTCAATGACATCCTCCTCGACTACAAGCTCAAAAACGGCTCCTGGTACTCAGAAACGATTCCAAAGTACAATACAACATCTTACACAGGAACATACAACTTCAATTACAATGACTCTTATACTACATCGTATAACTACCAAACACCAAGCTACAACTCCTATAATTATAACCATTATGGCGGTTATTACGGTTATTCCTATGGAACACCACCTGGTCCAGGCAAAGTTGGCTTCCAGAACCTCGGCAACACCTGTTTCTTCAATTCCGGCATTCAATGTCTCATGCATTCTAAACCATTAGTAAAAATGCTTCTCGGAGAGAGCTGGAAACAAGACATCAACGAGATCAATCCATTAGGAACCAAAGGCCGCCTTGTTCGTGCCTTCCAGAAGTTGTTGGAAGAAGTTTGGAGTGGAAATTCGAGAGTTTTAGCTCCAAGCGAGTTAAAACAAGTAATCGGTGAATTCTCATCGAGATTCGCTGGCTGGGGACAACAAGATTCCCATGAATTGATCACTTTTATGTTGGATGGAATCCATGAAGACTTAAATCGCTGCAGAGTCAAACCCCAGATAGATACAGTCATTGGTGATGGCATAAACGATGCAGAAACAGCAGATTTGGCCTGGACAAACCACATGAAGAGAAATGATTCGATAATTCATGATATCTTCTATGCACAGCTCAGATCGAGATGTATATGTCCTAAATGTGGAAAGACAATCGTTGTTTTTGATCCTTATTCCCATTTGAGTCTTCCAATTTCGAATCCAAAAATTAAACAGGTAAAAGTTACTTTCGTTCCATACAACTTCTCCGAAAAATACGAGACACTCAGCCTTAACGTTCCGATCATTCCAAAACAAAAAGATTACGAAGATGCCATTTCAAAAGCAATTTCAAGGGACGTAAAAGTCGTAATCTGTTCGCTTTCTACGGCCAAGAGCTTGAAATTGGGTATCATTGAAGGATACTCCGTTTGTAACTACATTGCCTTTGAAATTCCCGATGTTTCGAAACTTTATGTTCCATGTATCGTAAAAACTATGCAGAAAGACAACTATTACTACTCTACACCTCAACTAAAGAATGTAGGTGAATATTTCCTGTTGCCAATTTCAAAGGAATACGCTTTTGATTCGAATAATTTCAATTTTGATCAAAATGATTCAGCCGAGAAGACATCTAAAGCATTAACTCAACTCGAAGATGAAGCAGAAGTCTATCTAAAAGAAGTCTGGAACAAGAATTTGCAAGAAACAGAAGAAGGAAAAGAAATGAAAGAAAAAACACAATATTACGGCGAAGACATCCAAATAAAGCAAGACAAGATATTCACGGCATCACTCAAAAGCACATATTACTACGATAACTCTACATCTTTCACTTATTCTGATGAATATCCAAATGTTACATCAATAACGGCCACTCTCTACATAAACGACGAATACAGGACCGAGAAAAAGGGATTCTTGTATTCCCAGTTGATGAAACACTCATCAGAAATTGTCGAAGATAATTCCATGGACAACGAATCAGGCGGAGTGACTTTGGACAAGTGCTTCGAGTATTTCTGCACAGAAGAAGTCCTGGATGAAGATAACGAGTGGAGATGCCCTAATTGCGAACAATTCGTCTGCGCAACGAAGAAAATGGACTTGTGGAGCGTTCCTAAGTGCTTAGTCATACACCTCAAGAGGTTCTCCGCAGGAGAATACTACTCCCATAAGGATGAAAGGTACGTAGATTATCCTGATGTAATTGACATCGGAAAGTACATAGTCGGACCTCATCCGGGATGCACGAAATACCAACTATACGCGGTTTCCGAGCATATGGGATCTCTTGGAGGAGGACATTACACTGCTCATGCAGTTGTTTCGCCTTTGGACAAGAATACAGGCGAATGGTACTCCTTCAATGATTCTAGTGCCAGTGAATCGACGGCTGCTTCAGCACATAACGCTTCTGCCTACGTTTTGTTCTACCAAAGAATGGATGAGGACTGTCCAGTAATAGAGGGCGGCCAACAGAACGAAAATACTACTTCTGACTCAGATCTCCCTCAGTTGAACAAATCTCAGGATTCTTCGTCTGATAATGAAATTATTTTGGATAATAATATCCAAAATTCAAACATTAGAAGAATTGCATCATCCTCAAGTGATGAGGAAGAAGATGATGAAGAAGATGGAGATAAGAAGTTAAAGGAATCTGAAATTAAAGAAATTTTATCAGATCATTCCTCAGATGATGAAGAAAAACAGAGATTAAGACCTAATTCATCAGTTTTCTCATCAAATGATCAGCAGGAAAATAATAATCAGCAAATAAAGCAAAGTTTGTCGGAAACTGACTCAGATGAAGAAGAAACAAAAGAGAAACAACAAGAAAACAATGATTCTCCTTTGGAAAATGAAAATCCAACTTTGGTTCGTAAATTGACTGAGAGTTTGTCGACTTCTTCAACAGATGATGATATCCCACACAATGATTAATTACCTTGTATTTTTTTATTGTAATTCACGTTATTTTTTTATATTTTTTTTCTAAAATTTAAAAAAATCTTTTTTTATTCTTGAAAAATTAATGGTATTTTTGTAAGTAAAAACTGTTTCCTTAAGGATGATAATCGAAAAGATCTTGTAAAAAAAAATTATTAATAAATCAAAGAGTTTTGACTAATAAAATTGTATAATTTAGAGTAGACTGATGGATGTAGAAAAACCGATGATTCTTGTTTTGGTCTGATTTATCAAATAGGGAAATTTATATAGATTAGTTTTTTAAAAAGCGTAATTATTGAATAACCAAGGTAATTAATGAATGTTTCAAATGTTTTTGATTTATGTGCCGTGAGAATTTTTGTTGAATTTGGTTTCTGTGGATGAAAATTAAAATTTATTTTCGTGTCAATCTTGTTTTGAGAGCAAATCTTAATATACTGTACTTGGAGATTGAATCAATCTAGATTTTATGAAGAGATGAGCAGGAAAAATATTGTTGGCTATTAATTTTGCTCCAAATGAAGTGGAAACATAATAACAGCTTACACAGACCCTGCTCACCTCAACTTTGAAGATTGGAATTTTCCAAATTTTTTTCGAAATTTGAAAAATGATGATGAATGCAACAAATTTGATAATGAAAATTTAATTATCGAATTTTTTTTGGAAATTTCGTTATTGAATTTAGATTTTCACATTTAAAAAGGTAATTCTATGATTAGTTAAAACAGTGATAATTATTAATATTGAACAAATTTTATATTGACTATGAAGCAAGTAAAATATGCCCTAATATTAAATCCTAATTTAATTATCAAATATAATTATACTGTCTTTCATAGAACACCAACTAAATTATCAGGAAAATATAAGTTAGCCAAATACCTTAAACAAAGTAAAAAGAAATAATTTCAATTATGTAAAATAACCAAAACTAAATTTTTACTTACGCTTTGCAACGACATTTGCAACAGCTTGGGCGACAAACTCGACATTGGAGTTGTTGAGAGCTGGGACTGAGATACGGCCATTTGATGGGATGAAAACTCCTTCCTCATCGCCAAGGATCTTAACTTCATCTGGAGTTAAGCCTGTAAGAGCGAACATACCCTTTTGCTGAGCGATGAAATCGAAGGACTTTCCAGTCTTCTGCTCGAGAAGCTGAACGAACTTGGCACGGATGTCGATAACTCTCTTTGAGATCTCTTTGAGTTCTTCAAGCCATTCCTTGTGAAGTTCTGGATCGTTGATAACTTCTGTGGCAATGTAAGAACCATTCTGTGGGCAAACAGAGTATGTGAATCTGCCAATTGTAGCAAACTGAGAGCCAACGCACTTAGCTTCTTGCTCATTAGCGCAGACGCAGTGAGCGCAGCCTGTACGTTCTCCGTAAAGTCCCATGCACTTTGAGAATGAGAAGCAAACGAAGAAGAAGTTTCCGTCCTTGGCAAAGTTACGGACAACGGAGGCATCTGTGTCTGGATCACCAGAAGCCCAGCCCATGTAGGCGAAGTCGAAGCATGCAATGTGCTTTCTTGCCTTGATTGCCCCTAAGATCTTCTGCCACTGCTCAGGTGTTGGGTCGATACCTGTTGGGTTATGAGCGCAAGCCTGAAGAAGAACAAGGCAGCCCTCTGGAGCTTCTTCTAATGACTTAACGCAAGCATCGCAATCGAGTCTGCAATCCTTAGCCCAAGCATATGTTCCGAGCTTGAGTCCCTGCTCGCCGAAGATAGCCTTATGGTTTGCCCATGTTGGGTTGGAGAGAAGAACCATTGGGCACTTAAGATGGTCCTTGGCGAATCTTGCAACCATATAGAGAGCACCAGTACCAGCGCATGATTGGACTGATGTTGTTCTGGCGGCGATTTCTGGGAGAACTGGGCCCCAAAGGAATTCACGAGCTGCCTTAACGAAAGCGGCATCTCCTGTCATTGGAAGGTAGTCCTTGCTGTGCTTTCCAAGCATCTTTTCTTCAGCTTTGCGGACGCATGGGAAGACGTATGGCTTGCCATCTTCTGTACGATAAACGCCTACAGAGAGAAGGGCCTTCTTCTCGAGCTTGGAAGCGTTGTACTTTGTAGCGACACCGAAAATGGCATCCGGAGGAGCTTCTGGAGTGTTAGCGAATGCTGACATTACAATAAATGAAGTGAACTCGATTTATCGTATTTTCAATAGAATTTCAAAAAATTGTGAAAATCTCCGCGGTTAAATTTAATCGATATTTAAGGAAGGATATCTAATTAATAATATTTCGAATTATCTTCGGTCAATAATTTGAATTGAATGTTGTAAAAAAAGCAACAATGCAGAAAATCCGAAAAGAAATATTTTAAATAGAATTCTATGTAGCTTTCGATGTATCATCGATGAGTAAACTTTTCAAATAATTGTGATAAATCAAGACGATGAAAAAAGTTCAATAATTGAAAGTCGAACCGATATCAAATTTCAATAGGATAAATAAGAAGTGAATTCACTTCTCTTCAGTATAATTATTGATCGTCTTGCCTAACCCCAAGCATAATGAAGATATAGACTTAAAGATCCAAAATTCCAATTCGTACTATCAATAAACATAAACGACACATGAATTTGTTATTTTTTAGCTGCAAAATTTAACTATTTGCTCCCTTATTATGCATATAATTATAATATATATGCCGTAAAAATATTAATCATGGAGATTCTCTATTTCTAGAAGAACTCGCAAATTATTTAATCACAGAAATGAATTTGAACATTCTAACATATGAAAATAAGTTTTACATATGCAATATTTAAATAAATAAAAACTTTATACCATAAATGTATATAATTATTTCATTCTATCATTCCATTCTGCCTTGCAAGCATCGAAAAAGATTTTAACAAGTGAATCTCTTCTTGTAACCTGATGCAAAATAGCTGGCTTGAAACCATCACCTTCATATGATATATTTCCAATAGCATTATCATGATAATCATCAATCTTGAAGTGAATTGATGCGAAATGTGGGTTAACGAGTACATTAATTCCTAATCTCTCAGGTATATCAGAAGCAAGAACCCAGTCGTATGCAATTTGGTCGACCAAGAACGTTTCATAGTTCTTTTTCACCATTGATGAGACAAGAGTTGCTACTTTTAGCATTGTATACGTATCAGCTAGGAAAGTACCACCACAGAATATCAATTTATCTCCGAAAAATCTATAAAAATCAATACCTTTCAGATTTCTTGCCCAATCAAGACTCCAGCCTGATTCTCTGTGATAAGTTTTCTCACTACTGACATATATAGTATTATTAGATACCGTTCCTGTAAATGGATCTGCTTGGTAGTATGAATCGAAGATATCAACGTATAAAACTCGGTCAAAATCATCTTTATGATGCTCTAAGAAGATTTTCATAGCTATAAATCTGAAATACATCATTTCCGTCTTAGGAAGATTCTCTGTTCCTGGAATAACACTGATTAAAACTCCGCATTTTTGAAATAGTTTTTCATGTTTCGGCAATTTATCAGTAAATATTACAATAGTAGCTTTACATCCTGCAGATCTGATGCTTCTGATATTAGGATATGCATCATCCATCCTTCTAAACGCACACATTACAACTAAATCCTTTTGTGTTGAATTAGAGATATTAACTATACCAGATCTACATAATTTACAACCATCTAAATCAAGTTTCTGCTTAATATATTCTTCCGATTGATTGAAATCAATTTCAAATTTCTTATCAAGTGAAAATCCTCCTTTAATCGTTATATTAGCAAATGGATCAACTTCTTTAGCCATATTCCAATCGTATTCCTTAGTTTTAAGTACTGTCATCGATGAAAAAAATAAAAATATTATTGAACAAAGAAAAAAACCAATAAAGTATTGTTGACTGATGGCTGAAAATATTAAACAGAAGATTAGGAGTATATATATCCTAGGATTTTGTGAACTGTCGTAGAAATTGAGGAAAAGATAAATTTGAGAAAAAAGAACTAAAATTTTCAATGTTATAAAGAAAGTATGGTGCTTATGGTAGTTATCTGTGTCAGAATTAAGTAGTAAGAATAGTTTTAGGTATTTTCGGATGAAAACATCAAAAGATTTTCCTGTATAAAAGAAATAGAACTTCAATAACAAGAAGAATACCATTGTATACGAAATAAAACCGATGACACTTGCTGAATATGTATTAATCTCTGTTTTTATCAAAGTAGAATTGAATTCTTTTTCATAACTAATATTTACCAATAAATTATCATCTGAACTGAAATTACTCATTAATTTGAATATGTTTGTAGTTAGAGTGTTGTTTTGCGCCGTAAAATTAAATAACCATTTTCCATAAACTTTATGAGATGAACCAATGGCATGATCTACGTAGAAGAATCTATCGTCATCGTGCTCGATCTTAAATTCTATTGTATCGATTTTATATTTATAAGATTTCGTGATATTCAACGTTTGAGCAACAAGTGACTGAACATTCGATGTGTTGACCTCTGGATGAAATGTTAGAAAGACACTCTCTTTGTAGAAAATGAAAAAATGAAGCATTTCTTGAATTATTTTTGAAAAGTGACAGATTTTAGTATGAAATTCTTCTGAATTTTACTGACACATTCAATATAATATGATGACTGATTCTCTTATTCTTGTCTTGAGACTAAAGCATAAAGACATCGCTTCAGATATATCTTCATCTATTTTACAGAATTTCTTGATCAATTACTTTTCCCTGTATGAGTATGCAAACAAACAACATATATTTCCACTAAAATTTAGTAGAGTTGCAATATTAAGTGGTGTTTGTGATAAAAAATCAAAAATTAAATACTTATTTTTTCCTTAAGCTTTGCTGAAATGTGAAAACTGCCACTAACACATACAAAGCTATGAGAATCCATAATAGAAGATATCTATTTATGATTTCAAATGAATTAGTAATATGGTCTGGTTTCAAGAATGTTTAAACATTCATATCACCATGACGTATGTTTTCGAAGATATATCCACTAATCTTAATTCATTTTTTTTATGCTTCAATATGATACTGATCAAATGATAGTTTTGTTATTACCATGTGTGTGTATTTTAACACTATCATTATCAGGATCTCTCATTTTTATATCACCTTCAGATATTAGAAAGAAAATACGTCGAAAATTTTTTATATATCTTGGAATATATGCACTGACGCAATTTGGTTTTTACATGCAACAGCCATTCTTATACTCTTTATACTTATTTAATAAATATTCTACAGAAACAATTGCTTTATTAATCATCACTTCTTACATTTTTGAAGAATTAGCAACATTATTCCCTTTCGAGCTATATATGGAATTTAGTCCAAAAATATCATACATGTTCTTTCAGCTTTTCGCTATTTTGTCTTGTTTACTCAGATTTATTGGTGGCCCCATAAATCATCTTTGCGCAAATGCTTTAATTTCTTTCAGCAGATGCTCCGTAGATAAATTTTTAACAGAATATCGATCTAATTTTTACCAAAACGATGCAGATAGTAAATTTGCGTTTTCAAACAATTTACGTTTCACAAAGGTCTTATTATTTCTATTTACAGCCGGTTCCAATCAACTAATATTCTCTAATTCTTCATCAAATCTCGACTATATCTATTTGATGTCTATGATTTACTTTATAGTTTCAGTTCTATCCGTTTTCATGTATAAATCGAAGCAATATGAACCAAAAAAGAACGAAAAAACTACGAAAAACGTCTATTTACTTGCAGCTTATCTATTTTACTCTTTAATTAAGATAATGATTTTTCCTAGGTTCAGATTTTTCATAGATTCACCAGATTTAAATAATATTGCGCTACTCCACACCATTGTATTTTGCTCAGGAACAATGGGAGACATTTGTGGTTATTTTTCTATGAATTGCATCAGGCCACACATTGTATTATGCTTCTCTTCGATGATATTGGCAGGTTTTCTATATGCTTTATCGTTTTTGGTTCATTTTCCATATATTGCTGTTGCAGATTTGACTTTAATTGTATTTATGTTTCATGTAACTGGTTCATTCTTCAACCAATATATTAAGCTATCTATTCTTCATAGAATTATTATTGTTTTTATAACATCATCTGTATTTTTCATGCTTTGTAATGCAAAACCTAATATGATAGCAAATGTTTCATCTTTATTTGCTATAATGATGAATATGTGCTCTCTTATTTTCACTCTAGATTTACCAAAATAAAAATTGTTTGTATCTTTTCGATTTTTTGAATTCGTTTTAATATTACATGCAAGTTCATCTGTTTGTATATTTATATCTTCATTTCCTTTAACATTTCCTTTCATTTTTTTGTTTGTTGGAAAATGAAATCTTCATCGGAAAGAATTGGAAGGGAATTTTTCAAAGACGATGTAGTAGATGTGTCTCAAAAACTCATTGGTAAGCTTCTTTGCAGAAAATTCTCTGATGAGACAATAAAAAAATTTAGAATTAATGAAACAGAAGCATATAGAGGACCTGATGACCTTGCATGCCATGCATCAAAGGGGAAAACAGAGCGAACAAAAGCTTTCTTTTTAGAAGGAGGTCATCTTTATGTGTATATGTGCTATGGTATTCATTGGTTAATAAATATAGTAACTGGAAATGCTGATGAGCCTCAAGCAACCCTAATTAGAGGAATTGAGACTGCTCCAGGGCCAGGTCGTGTAGGTTCACGCTTAGAAATTAGCAAAGATTTGTATGGTATCGATCTTTGCACTTCAGATATCATGTGGTTAGAAGATGATGGTGTGAAATGGGATTATATATCAACACCTAGAATTGGAATTGATTATGCAGGGGAACCATGGATTAGCAAGCCATGGAGATATTATCATGAAACAGAGGAATCTAAGAAAGTGGCTCCTAAAGTTGGAAAACCAAAGAAAAAGAAAATTTCCCAATCTAAAAAACAAAGATTAGCAGATGATTCATATTCAGACTAAAAATTAAGGCGTATATATTTTGTTACATAATAAAAGAATAAATTTTATAACAATACCTTGAATGAATTAGCTCTACGAAGTCTCGTTGGTTTCTGTTGTTCTTTCTTAACATGGAACATTTCTGTTGAAGAATTCCTTGTAAGTCTAGAAAGATTCTTCTCAGGAACAGGTGGAGGAAGAGCATCGGATTTCTTTTTGTTTGGATCCGCATGTAAAGAGAAAATCGAGATTTTCGGTGTCTTTTCATTGAGCTCGATGAATTTATAAGAGTTTTCAGTAAAGAAAACTTTCATAACACAAGATTTTCCTGAAGCCATGAAACTTGGATCAGAAGCAGTAAACAATGTAACAACAGATCTGTCAGTAAGTGGATATTTGTATCCATCAATAGCAACTTGATGACCGCGGACAATCATTTTTAGATGATTCCTTATTAAGAAGCGATCTGAGGATATTTTACCCCATGTAACTGTTTGTCCTCTTGGGTTTCCTCCAAATGTGTAGCATTTTGGATCTGGATCACTCCAAAGAAGATCTGTAATTAAACCACGAAGTGGAACACCAATTGGTCGACGAATTTCTCGGATTTGCTGGACGAAATCAAGATGAGGGGAGATTCCACCATGCACGCAAAAGATGGATTTATTTACAATTGCAGCAAGAGGAAGATAATCAAAGGATTTGATAAATTCTTCATATATAGAAGTGTTTGCTTTCTTGCAGCATTCGCAGTAAAATCCATCTGGCTCGGATTGTAATTGTGCTTCGTGATTTCCTCGAAGTAAACAAATGTTGTTTGGATATAGGATCTTCAAAGCATAAAGGAGTACTATAACTTCAAGCGAGTTTTGACCGCGATCGACGTAATCTCCAAGAAAAACAAACTTAGATGTTGGATTAAGTTGGCCGGCACTTAATGCACGAACCAAATTCACCATTTGGCCATGTAAGTCACCAACGATCGTAACATCGCCATTCATTTCAACTAATGTCTGATCATTCTTGAGCACATTTATGATATAATCCAAAACTGTACGGATAACAGTTGTTGAAACACGTGCACATCCATATGAACTAGTTAGGAAGATTTGGTTAATAACTAATTCAAGCATAGTGCGATTCTTACTATCGATCTCCATGAAGTTTTTTGAATGGTTAAGTTTCTGGACCATTCAATATGTTTATTTCAATTTAAATTTGTCTATGCATATATTAATGGTTTTTATCCTTTGGTGTAAATAATTTGAGGGAAACCGTCACAGTTGTCATTTTTGATGAGCACTTAATATAGATGCACAAATACATTCTATTATTTAGAAGAAAATTTCTGTGACTTTTTACAAAATAATTGTATCAATTTAATGCTAAATTTGAAATCAATTACCTATGTACTATATTCTACAAATATACATCTGTAGAAAAGTAAAAAAGTGTCAATCGCAACTAATTTTCTTCTCAATTTTGAAAATCATGTCAAAAATTAAAATCAGATTTATATCCTCATTACCTTTTCCAACAAATAATATAGATGACGCAGAATCTTTTTAAAGTCGGTCAAACATAATTTTCCTCACTCGATTTTGCGATAATAACTTTATGATTGTGAAACATCAATAACAGCATCAAGAGTACTGATAAAGTTAAATCACCGCAGTAATCCAAATAAATTAACAATCTTTGAGATGATTATATCATATGATATTTCTAAGTTATTTGATATCTATGTAAAAGTCTTAAATATTAAGCTAAATTTATTTAGGACTAACTCATTCAGGAGAACTGTATATCATAAAACTATTGTATTTATCCAATTCATTATGTTGGCTTTGCATAATTGGTAGATTAAACATATTATAAAAGTGTTGGCATACGATTAATAAGCACTCAGATTTTCTAAACCAATGTGGGACTTTTGAGCATGAGATCTTGGAAAATAGTGTCGATATTGAAGTCATCAATCTTTATGCTAAATTTTGAACGATACAATTCTTAATTCTATGTAAGGAGCATACAAGGTAGTAAATAACTTATAATTAATTGATAATGGCGGGTTTTCTAAAAAACGGTTTTTTCCTCGTTAGTGCAAAATGAGTAAAATTCTTTCAAGGGGTTTCCGGCAGCCCTTTGAGTTTCAAAGACAAGGTCCGCTAGCACGACCACCTGGTGGACACAAGCCAGATTTCACTTTAACTGGTCCGACAACGCAAATTACAAAAAATCCTCAACAAACTACACAACCTGTAACAAAAACAAACAAAAACAAAACTGTAGCGCTTGATACACTCTTTCTTGTTGATATTCTCGGTACATCACACTTCGAAAACGTTCAAGAAATCGATGCATCTTCAAAACATCTGAATTATATTGATCTGACGGCATTAGGAATGCTATCAACTCTTGAGAAAGCAGATTTCAGTGATAATGCACTGCCACTTGAGCCATTTGCTATACTTCCAAAATTAAAAGAATTAGATCTCAGCTGCAACTCACTCAGATCGTTTGATTACAAGTCATCCGAGACAATGAGTGGTGATGAGAGAGCCTGGCCATGCCTCGTCTCTCTAAACCTCAGTTTTAACAACTGTGGACGATCAATTACAGATTTACAACTTATTACACATCTAACAACATTAAATCTTTCACACAACAATCTCACATCATTGCCATCTAATCTTATGCACTTTACATGCCTTACAAACCTTGATTTGACCGGAAATTCTTTGAATTCTGAACCAGCGTTTTTCTCATTGGCTACAATTCAATCTCTACAGACACTTATATTAGACAAGAACGGAATCTTCCATATTCCAAAATTCCAGTTCGGATTTGAATCTCTTGCTCATATCTCTTTACGTGGCAACTCAATTGAAATGGCCGACGACATTACATCACTTGCAGACCTAGAGCTTCTCGAAGACGTAAATATTTGCGATAATCCTTTAGTTCTTCGTCCAAAACAATTACCTATCGCCAGACAAGCATTTAACGCCGCAAATATCGATCTACGAACTGATGAACCACTTCCTGCAGTGGTCAGACATACTTTAAACGTTGCTACTCTTCGAACAATTCCATTAGATCCTTTAACGCTTCCTTCGTTCACAAAACAACATATAAACTCTCTAAACAGACAAAGTGCCGCTATTAAATCAGCCGACAAACTACTAGAAAAGACAGATGAAACTAAATCTGTCGATTCTATGTCAACTCCTTTACAACAGACCCAGAGTACAAGTCTAAAGTCAACAACAAGTGTTGCTACAACTGAAGATGACATTTTCATGACAGCTTTCGGTTCAATGGCGAATGAACCTCCACAATTCCAGCCTCCTCCAGAACCAGAGCCACAAGAACCCGAGGAAGAGGTTGCTGAAGAGGAGCAGCCAATTATTAGCATCTGGAATGAAGTTCCTGTCGTTAATGCAGAACGAAGAAAGAAATTAAGTGGCCGAACACGCGGAGAATTCATGACAGCCTTTCGAAGATTGGAGTTTGTTGTTTCTCATCCTGATCTGCGCCTCAAACCGAAGAAAGACGAGAAGGAAAAGACACAAGAAGAACAAAGGTCACAAACAGCAAATTCCGAACAGAGTTTGTCCGAAAAAATCGCAGCGGAAAGGGAAACATCGATTCTCCAGCCAAAACCGGCCACGGCCACTTCAAAGAAACCAAAAGAAATTGCTCAAAAACTTGCTGCAAGGACAGAGTACACGAAATCGGAAATCCAACAGATGCTCAAGTCTATGTCGGACAGGCTTGGCATCGTGGAGAGAGATCTTCACGCAACAGACGAATCTGGTCAGTCTGCAGTTGATATCGCGATTGATCAGAAGAATTTCTCGGAACTTCACAAGAAATACGAAGTTATCAGAGCAGAACTTATCAATACTCTCAACTCTTAAGTTGTTTTTCTTTTTCTTTTTCTATCCATGTTTCTAATTTTTTTGTTTTTTTAATTTTCTTTTTCTTTTTATTTATTTATTGTAAAAATAGATGTTTTAATACTTATAGATTATAGATTTTTACTTATGGCTAGCAAGCAAGTTCAAATTCAAATACCGTCCGAGGAATGCTATCAAAACATGATCGGCATATATACAAACCACTGGCAGAGCGTCAAAATTATAATTTTTTATTTAATAAATAAATACTTAATAACTAACTAAAGTTGCCTCAAAATCTCGATTGAAAGACATTGAATTTAGTTTTGAGAAGACTGTTTTTCATTTTGAGAATTATTAATTAGCATATAATTATAATCATATTGTATGAAGTTATCAATTCTCTTAAATTTTGAAAGCTTAAGAAATTTAAAAGCACAAACAAATATATATTATTAAAATAATGGTATTGATCAATTTGAAAAATTTTGAAATTTTGAATACGAATTTTAATGTAAACTTTAATAGTTGTAAAAGAATAGGAAACATCACAGATGGCAACTTAGATTAATGAAAAGTTGGAATTTTTTCAATAAAATTTTATTCATGAAAAAAGATGCATGAAATACAATAATAGTAATATAGATACGTTATACAACATGTTACATAAGTGATCACTATAAGCATAATAGCTTTAAACAAAATAATCATATCAAAATTTGTATCTGTAAGCAGCAAGAGTGTTATATCCTAATATTAAGTGTAACTACTTATTAGACAATGAATACAATATAATGTATTGATTAATAGGCTAAAGAAAAAAAATTATATCCTTCAATTTGGACAATCCGAAATTTTTCTTAATTAATTGAATTACATATACATTAATTTACAATTAAGTGATATCAGCGATAAACTTATATGCACGTTTAACTTTATCAGATTTCAAATGAAAACATGGATTTCATTGCATGTTTTTCAATACTAGCTCCAGAAAAATGATACAAAGATGAATAAATAGTAATGTCCCTAAAATAAGGTACGAAACAAAAAATTATCAACAATATACTTAATTTCGGCTATTATGATAAAAAGTGAATATATCAAAAACATTTATTCCATCATCTTGTTATCTGTACCTCACCACGGACTAATATGAAGAGAGATCAATTTCCAAAATTTTACCAAAAAGAGATTAGGCCTAATTTTTTTGGCCAATCTTTATGATTTGTTATACAGATACTAGATCTACTACTCCCCAAAACAATTCATTTTTTGAATGACCCCTTTTTTAGGTTTTCATTTTATGAAAAATGCCAATATTATACGATTATTAATATATTTATTTTTTTGTTCTCAATAAAGGTATTCAAAAGTCAATATAAACCATTCAAAATTGAGAGGAAACTCATTGAGAGGCTCGGAATTCGAGTAGTGAGGAAGGGTACATTTTGAGAGCCAAAATTTCAAATCCCCTCAATATTTCAAGCCCTTCAAAACTGGTGAAGTCAAAGGACTTTATTCAATTTTTTGATTGAGATTCACTCAATATTGAGGAAGAAAAACGATAAGGAGACTTTAAGTAGGAAAATGGGTTTATTTATATAATTAAACAGCCATAACGTATTTAATTATTCGATGCTTCAGTCTCTTAGATTTGTTAATTTAGTGTGATTTTCATCTCCATTCAGTAAGGTATCAGTTTTTACAATTGAATTTCACTATTTGAAAAAGCATCAGAGTATTGATTCAATTGATTATAGTGATTTATATCACACTTATCATCTTCGTCTTAATATTAATATTGCCAATTTATCACTTTCCTTACATTTTGGTGGTTGTTTCATTTTGAACTTACAAGAAAAGTCGTCACCTTCAAATGGATTTCCACTATAATTGAAATCTGGATTGGTGGTATTTATTGTTTCATCACCTAGAATAAATACAGACTCCTCACCAGTAGTCATTGAATTAGTATTAAATGATGTTTCCGAATCAATAAAAATTCTAGTATTACTCTCAATAATTAAATTATTGACGCTAACGTATGAACTAGTGAATGTATAATGAATCTACAAAAATCAAAATATTGATTAAGCGTTTGAAAACTGAAACTCCCGTTAAATAATATCATATTATTGTGATTAGTGTTGACAGATGTGTCTATAAACCAAAAATCGTTTACTGTGTTGTTATGTAAAACAATAAGTTGATTTGTTGAAGTATGTTTACCTTTGCAAAATGCCAATGAGCAATTGTGAGTGGTATCTGACGCTGAATTCAACGTAATATTACAAGTTTGAATTAATATTTGGCCAAAGAGTGTTATAATCGAGTCTGTATAATAACATTTATGAATGGATCCCGATTTGATGATGTTTCGTTTGCTAGTTTGAGTATATGAGTGACAATGTTTTGTATTAAAGTGGTTTGTGGAATAAATGTAATTTTGGATGATATCGCCGTTAGATGTGATAGATATTGATGATGGATTTGATGAATCGCTGTTGTGAATGAATTGACAATACTCAATAAGAGTGTTAAATTCTGAGTCTGGAACATTGATTAAAATAGGGACTTGTTCGAAGTTTCTAAATGTAGAATATTTGATATAATTATTACTTTCTGTGCTAAACGGACTTTTTTTTGCAAAGATGTAAAACTTATAATCTTTATCTTTAAAAAATTCTCTCCAAGAATGATGTAAATGAGTGCTTGATTCCTGTGTAGAAGGGTTAGTAATCCAACATAAAAAATTAATTACAGTTGGGATGAGCATTCATTCAAAGAAAAAATGTAGCAAAATTTGACACTTTACAAAGAAAAAAAATATAATTTATTCTTTTTTACATAATACAAGTTAAAATGTATATGTCGCATTTTGGTGCATAAATATAAAGCTGAAATTTATTTTCTCTCGTTGAATTTGTTTTTTTTTCCTAAGGTGATTTTGACGAGTTAGTATCACCAACATTCTACCTTATATGCCTCATACTTACATATTGAGTTTCAAATCAAGACGCATGTTGGATTTTTGTTGGACTACCTTTAAATTTATAAGATTTTCATGATACAATCAAAGTTTATAACATGAATACTTAATTCCTTAATTTATGCTCATAAATCTTAAAATTTTGTTGGAAAATTGATGAAATAAATTATTTTCATTGAAATAATCAATTATCTCCTTCTAATAATAAGTTTTGATGAATCGTTATTATTTGGGCAAATGCATTTCTTTATTGCTGCTTTGCAATAATAATTATTATCGAATATAACTTCATTTATATCTTGTGGACCCGAATCTGTTGAAATATCTATCCTTTCATTGGAATCAATAATGATTTTTTCTTTCGTGTTTAAAGTCGTACTTTGAATAGTAATGTATCCATCAGTTGTAGGAATTTCAAAAGAATTAGCCTCTATGAAAGAATTTAGCATTGTTAAGTTTGAATCTACATATATGTTAACATCGTTTTTGACTTGAGCGAAGATTTCCTGTAGAAAACAGCTTTCAGTATTGATAAATAGCGATCCACCTTTAATTATAAAATATCTGATCTCAAGCAGTGGAGAATCTGCAACCAAAAGTAGCTTTAAAGAATTTTCATCAATTAATTTTATATCCTTTAAAGTTGTATTAAATCTAGATTGTAAATGCATTTGATATGATTCATAATTGCAATGCGTGATATTAATCGATTCAATGTTATTAATAGAAGTGCATAAATGCAGTTTATATTGTTTGTATTGGTATTTGAATGATAAATAGTTGGATCTAGATGGTCAGTAGAACATATTCGATTTTGAATGATTTTTCCTAGCGTTTTAATAAATATGCATGATAGTTGTGATGGATCACTATTATTTCGAAAATGACAATCTTCAATTAAAGTATGAATAGGAGGAAATTCTGAATTTTGGCTATTTATGTATATTGAAACATTTTGCATGTTTGCAAATGTTGAACACTTGATGAACGTGTTGGTATTTTGAGCGAAGGGTCCTTTTTGCACGAATACGTACAAATTTCTTGGTTCGTCTTTAAAAAAACCATACCAAGATTGATGAATATGATGGTTTATGTAAGGGTGATCATTTATTGTACGAATAATGGATACCCAAAATCTAAAAAGATTCAAAGTTAATGAAAAATATCGGCTTTTTTTGCCATTGTGAAGATAACCTTTTTCAATTTCTTCGTTATCTAAAAGTATTGCTTATTACAAGGATGTCGATTTGTCCACTTTAGGGTTTATTTCCTCCTCCAAATTGTAATACTTCTAAATTTTTGTCCCCTATATTTGGAAAATTAGAGTCTCAAAAATTCGGGCGGTTCTAAAATGTCCCCAAATGGCATTCTTACTTATTATGAGTATTCAGAATTCATGTATATGAATAAAAAATTTGATCAATTAATCTTATATAACTTGAAAGCTATTGTCCAAGGATACTATAGTTGAGTTTTAACTAAACTTTAAATATTTGCAATGATCAGATAATAACTAATAAATGATCATTTAATCTGATATTTATTAGTCTAAGAGCCTTATTATTTATAGTAATACTTTAAGAATAAAATATTACATTTTGGTGATTATACAATCACGTTTCAATAAATAGGAATTATTCATATTTGTATGCATAATCAAAATATTATAACTATTTTAATATAATTACAAATGGTTACATTACATTTGCAATACAGAGATCTAAAATATTTTCTCTTTTCTTCGGTTTTACAAGGGAATGAGAAATTGACCCTGTTTCAAAAAGATATTTATATATATATGAAAAATATTTAATGATTTCATGATTAAATAATGTGTATATAGAATGCAATTATATTGATTGACTTATTTTCAAGTCTGATCAGATTTGTTAATCAATTATTAAATAACATCAAATTTAAAGTTTTTTGAATCGAAACACTTTATAAATAGCATATGCTAGTATTTGTTTTGTGTTTGATTTTTTGATTCTAACTACTTTGACGAAAAGTAAAAATTAATTAAAAATAGTTGCAAAAATTAATATGATTTTCGTAATGCTTAGTAATATTGGTACTTGTTGGACATTTCAATTTAACGAAAAATATGGTTGCTATTGAATATTCAGATTGAAAGGCATTTAAATGAATAATTGATGAATTTTGGAGCTTAACATATTTACAAAGGGGACCAACTGTGCAGTTAATTTTATTGAGAAAAACCGTTATCTCACAATTATATTTCGTTTCCCAAATCTGGGAAAAGTTTTATATTTTATAGATGTATGCTAAACTTGTATTTCAATTTTTACTAATAAAAGTATGATAATTCAAAACTGCCATTGAATGAAAAACATAATGCAAATTTCAATTTTCCTTTCAAAATTTGAATAGTTATTGTTAAATATTCTTATGTTTAATTGACTATCGATCATCAATGCTAATCATTTTTAATGTTGTAAAATTCAATTACAAATTTCATTAACTTTTGAAGTTAGATTGTTCTAGTAATATAGAAACAAATATCACCGATAAAATATTTCATTTTCGCCTAAAAAAGCTTATCTCAAATTTTTGATGAGTTCATTTTTTTTGAAAACTGTGGTTTAAAATGCATTCAAATCTTTAACTGGGTTGCTAGTTTATACTTCTCGTATAGATAATGTAACGGAGACGTTTCGTAATTTGTTTCGTATTAGATAATACTCTCAAAAATTGTGATATTTTTCTGAGCTGCATTAAATCGATGTATTTTTATTTCCTTACTTGATAAATAATAATTTCATTTAACAATAATTTTTCTTTTGAATAATCAAATCTGAACTATTCTCAAAATTTGAAAATCATAGGATAATAATACCTTTTGCAGCTGCGTTCAGCCCTAAAACATCATTTAAATAATTAATTATTTTCCTTTGAAATTCAATTTACTCAATATTTTGATGTTAAATTCCTTAAAAATTGAATCAAATTAGTCAATTCACTTCTCATGGAAGATGCTCTGACATCTACATCAGTAACTTATACCGACTTTGCTTCTTCCTCAATCTCCAAGTATGCAGATCTTATTGACATTCCAATCACTACACGTGTTATCGATTATTTGATATCTCTCTTCAATTACTTTGATATATATGCCCCAAGAATACCATTAATTTACTCCGTTGTTACATGCATTCGATTCTTCCAACTAATTGGAGGTGCCTTCTTCTCTGCCAACACGGATTCTTTCCTTCCAGGTACATTCGCATACAAGGTAATGTCAATCATTACTGTATTGTTCCATATTGTCCCGTTACAGTACAGATTAGGAAAGGCTGCCATCATTTTATACTCGATTAACTCGGTACTGATTGTATTTGTTGTTCACTTACTTGTTACAGCATATTCTTATAAAAAGACGAGCAAAGTTCCAAAGATATCTTGCATTATTTTGTCAATTTTTAATGCAGTTGGTCCATACACGTTAATCCCGATTGTTGCTCAATACTCAGGCCAAACATTATCCGCTATCATACAAGGAACCGTTAAACCTAATCTTAAAGATCTTTTGGCCTTAGTGATTTCGTTTATTAACATCTTTCTCTTTAATTGGATCAATATTAAGGCATATTCTATATCACTGGTGTTTAGAATGTGTTCGTTCCAGTCAATTGAAGGTTCCCCACAAAACAAATTATTTATCACAACAACATTTGTAACGTTAGTTGCTGCATTAACGACATACTTCACCGCAATCCCATCTGCAGCAATGATAGCCATCTCAATCTTGTTCTTTATCTATTGCACGACAACTGTATTTAATTGCGGTACGTTTATTAAACAAAAGCATCAAGTTATGGTCCTTGGTGGTTCGATTCTTGGTATAGAACTATGTATTGCTAACTTGATCATTATATTCTTAAAGAAACCATGGAACGCCGCATTTTTCCTTGGTTTTGGTGTTGCTTCAGTTATAACATTTGTTTTGACGGAAGTTTTCATCAAAAGGAAAGGAAGAAGAGAGTTACAGATATTAGATGAAATTGATGACACAAAAGATATCTCATCCATCAGAACTAAGAACAAATTCAAACAGTTACTTGCTACAGGATTCACTTTTTCACATCCAGTTTGCATTAACTTTAATATTTTCAAATTAGCTGTTGAAGAATGGAAATTGGATTGTGATGTTTGGTCAGTTTATGCAAAGTTCATTTCCATCTATCCAGAGAACACAGGAACATTATGTTTTATTGCTCAGAACATTGTAATCTCAAGTTAAACACAAACTTGTCAAATATCATTTTGAACTCAGCTGGATACATCATGAGAACAAGAGAAACAAAGTTTACTCCACAGTTAAAGACAAGAATCTCAAAGTTATCAAAGAATTTCAATAAAACAAAGACAAGACTAAGAAATATTTGGGATTTAGTTCTTCAAGGAAACATAAATGAATTGAATTTTGCCATCAAAAGAACAAAAGAATCAGTTGATGATTGCGAAAGAGAAATTGATCATTTAGTCATGACATATCCAAATAACAGATTTGTTGCAAGACAAAAATTAATCTTTTTAAGTGAAGTAAAAGGAGATCCAGTAAATGCAAAGCAATCTATTGATGAAATCATTAAACTTCAAAGAGGAATTGCAATCAAAGAAGATACAATCCATGAGTTAGGAATGATGGCATTTCCTAATATTCCTGATTATTGCAATGATTCAATGAGTACTGGAAAGACAATAAATGAAAACGAGTCAACAACTAATGATGAAACAGTATTTGATGATACGGTGAATTTCGAAGCTATTGAATCAATTTCTAAACAAATTGATAATCATGAAGTTCCAGCAATTCACTATATCTACAAATCAGCATGGCTTTGTTTCATTTTATTGGTGTTCTTGCTATTAGTTTCAATGATTATTGTATATCAATTCTACGCAGAAGCTTATTCAAAACCAATTTACATGATGCAAGGAATTGCAAAAACAAGAAACATCATAACAATGTTGACTGCTTTTGCTGGAAGATTTTTGTTCCAAGTCTTAGATGATCCAAAGAATCCAGGTTCAAAATTAATGGGTCCTTTAGACTATTACCTAACTTTAATATGGATAGCTATGGAGATAATAGAGATACAGAAGCAATCATGAAATTCATAGCTGCAAAAGTTTCATCATCAACAGAATTAATGACAGACATCATTCCTTATAAACCTAATAATGAATATATGGAAAATGTCAGAAAATTGTTATTTGAAAACAACATTAAGTTCTTCTTCTATTTGAACAATACTTATTGGGAAGAATCAACGACAACAGCAACAGAGATTTCCTATATCATTTCAAATCATGTTGGCAAACTATTAGACATGGATAGCGATGATGCGGGAGTTGCAAACGGTCCTGATTCATTGATCATAAGAAATAACAATAACTATCCAACAACAGCGATGAATGAAGCTCTTAAATCAATGATCAATTATTTGATTGCTCTCAATGAGGACTATCAGAAAATATTCATGATCATTATGATAGTCATTATTTGTATCAATGTCATTGTTTATCCTATTGTTTACTTCACACAAATAAAAAAGTTAAGAGAGAACAGATATGAAGTTTTACAGTTAATGACAACTTTACCTAAAACTGTAATATCAGGAATTTCTGCTTCTCTTAACAAAATTAAAGATGAAAAGACAGCAACACAAACAATGACAATAACAAACACATCATCAAATCCAAATTATGAGCAAAACAGACAAGAAGAAAGCATCATTAAATTGTTTACTTCTATTTCAGATGGAACATCAAAAGCATCAATAGAAACAAGCATTTTGATTTTGATGATAATTATTGTTGCTTTATCTTGTGTCAGCTATTATCTTGGAATGAACTGTTTCATGGTTTCTTCCAATAATTTGGTATTTAACTGTCATCATATTAACTATTTGTTTGGATCAGTTACTTATTTATTTGGTGTTTGTGCAAGAATTTTCAAAGTTTCATTAGCAACTTGTGATGAATCATTTAAAGAATCAATATTAAGTATTGATGATGAAATCCAAAATATTCAAAGAATTTTGCCATATTTAGTTAACTATTTCCAGTTCATTCGTCTTGGAGGTGAAGATAGAAGAGAAGTTCCATTCTCTGAAATGAGTACTACAATCAATACTGCTTCAGATTTATTGACATGCACTGTTGGATTAACTCCTCCTAAGACAGTTATGGAAAGTGTTCATTGTTTAACTTCTGCAATGCAATTTATTGTTTCAACTGGATTAATGAAGAAATTCTATAACAATATGCTATATAGTATCTATCCAGATCCTAGAGATGTCTCATTGCAGCAATTATGGCAAATAGGACCCATTGAATTATATCAAACATTTTCTATCCAGCAGAAGAAAAATTAATTCCAATTATTGTTGAAAACCTTCACAGTCAGGGTGATAACTTGATAGAATACAACGTTATCTTCATCATATTGACTTTAATTCTGACAATTATTATTTGTGCAATTGCTTTTAACGAAGACAAATTACTTAAGTTTACATTGAAGTTGTTCATGAGATGTCCAGCAACAACAATTCTCAACAACCAGAGAATCATGGATCTCATTTCAGGCCACTATAATTATAAGAATGATGACAATTCCGAAAAACATGTTTGGTTCACAAATGAAGTTGTAAATAAATTGAATGATGTTGTAATTGTTTGCCAAGAAGAAACAAGTAAAATTATAACAGTTAATGCAGCTTTCGAAGAATTATTCGGCATCAAACAACAGGATATTGAAAACACTCCAATCAAAGATTTCTTTACAGAAGAAAGATTCAAATATGATGAAAATATAGACAGAGTTTTCACAAAAACAACAGATTTAGTTTTTCTCAACAAGTCAGGGAATAATGTTTATTTGGAGTTTTCAACATCAGCGATATCAGGAAGAAGAATTTATTCAGGAAGAGATCAAACACAAATTGTTATGCATGAAAAGCTTATTGTTGATGAGAGGAAGAAATCAGATGCTATGCTATCAAGTATTTTACCACCAATGTTAGTTCCAAGATTTCAAGCTGGAGAAAAGAATATTTCTTTCAGTGTACAAAGTGCAACAGTTTTATTCTTGGATGTTGTTGAATTCACGCCATGGTGTGGTTCTCATGATGCTCAATATGTCATGAGAATGTTAAACATCATGTTCAAAGAATTCGATGCGATAACAAATGCCCATAAAACAATGACGAAATTATGGGAAATAAAAAAATTACTAAATATTGTATTCATACAAATATATTATTTTAAAGGAAAAATAGATGCTGATAGAAACGATGAAAAATTTTGAAAACTTTACAATTAATTTATGTTCGTTAACCACAGAGCTTGCAATCCAAAGCTCACGTTAGACTACAAGAGTCATGAAGTCTCATACTAAGGGATATCCAACATATATTTTAATAATCTAATGTTTGTGACAAATATTCAACATAAAATTAAGTTTTCGTTTCGTTACAAGGCATTCATACTTTGGAGATATCATATTTAATGTACAGAAAAGTTAATATTAAACAATACATGCTAAAGAATTAATAAATAAGATAATAAAATAAATTTATACGTAATTACTTTCATTTAATATGCTTTATGCTGTATAATATTGATTAAGAGGCATTAAAAGGTTCCATAGTCTGCTTTTATAGGTAAGATTTTTGATAAAAATTTAAAATTTTGAAAAATGATGAGAAAAGGAAAAAAAAGGTAAATGAGAGCAAGAGGAGGGAAAAAAAAGAAAAAGAAAAGAAAGGGAAGGGAAAAATAAAAGAAAGAAGGACATATAAAAATTTAGATGCGCATTCTTAATGCCGAGGCGGCTTGCCGCCGAGGCGCGATTTTTTTAGGCCTCTACGGTAACCCGGCAATGTTTTTTTAAATCTTGTACAGCCCTAGAAATACTTAGGCCAATCCCTGTGGGACCCAGTGGTAACTTTCCATGGAAACCACTCAGTGGGAACATTTTTTATTTTTGACGGAAAAAATTCTAAATATTTTTTTCATTTTTTGATTTTTGAATTTTTTTGGAATTAGAGAATAAAATTTAAAGCGATAGATATGCTTGATTATTCAAGATATTGATATTAAATCAGAAATCAATGGTAAATAAAGAGTTTTATAAAAACTTACCACGTGGTAAGATGAAGTGACCACAAATTGGGTTGTGGTACATAAAAATTACCACAAAATTGAGAACTTTTCCCACAAATTGAGAATTTTTACCATAAAATGAACGATGGATATCCACGAAAGTTACCACAACTCACTTCTCGCGCAAAATATGTTTAATATTACATATTAAATACATTTATCAACATTAATTATTTTGAATTGTGGTAAAACGATATGTCACATATTTTTTTATAAAAATTTGTAAAAATGTTTATTTTAATTTATATAATTAAATAAAGTCTTTTCAGGGGGTTATACCGTGATATTAGCCTTGTACCGAAAAAAAGTGACGGGCAATGCCGTAAAATAATATTTTATTAAAAATTTTTTGGTGGAGAATTGGAAAATTTTTGTTGGAAAATTGGAAAATTTTCCTAATCATTTGGACTATAACCTGGCATATTAGGGAGTTTTGTCAACAACTCAGTGCTGGGATCAAGATAGTTTGTAATCCAAAAGTAGAAACGTTCCTTGGTGTCTTGTTCTGGCTTCCTGCAAAATCTTGATTTGCAGGATTCTCTTAATATTGTCAGAAATTGCGCAATCATGTCCATCATCGTCAATTTCTTCACCATTGATGTTAATACGACGATTACGGTAATTTCTTTTCTCTTGCAATTCTTTTTCTGCAGGAGTCAATTCACGAACATACTTATTATGTTTGAGAGCTTCTACAGAACAAGGGCAAAGACCGAGCGGCGGCAACAGCATTTTGAACCGTTCTTAATGATACTGATTCTTGCCATGCGCTAATAAATGAGTAGATAATGCGTAGCGCATCATTGCAGCATTGCTGTTGAACTCTTGCTTCGGTGCCTTAAATGTAATCTCTCAGATAATCCGTGAATTTGGACTTAATCTTTTGGCAATGCCAACATCAAATACTTGTAAATGTGTGTTGTATGTGCGGGAAGAACAATTAATTTGATGTTGGCACTTGCCAAAAGGAACAATGCCAGAGGATTCTCGCGGCTGAGTGTCCATCACACACAATGAGAGCAGGCTTGTCACGTATATATTCTGGCTTCTCTGGCGTTCAAAGTTAAGCCACTCGATGAAGAAAATGCAATACAATAAGAATACAACTACTGTTCACCCAGCCTTTTGGCGTAGAAGTAAACCAACAATGTTTTCGCGCTGGAATACTTTCAGTTCTCTAGGTAGTTCTGCAATACATGGGAGAACAAAGAGAGGTGGGACAGATTTGCCTGTCATTGAGCATCCGCATAAAGCTGTAATGTGCGAAAGTTTGGAATTCCTTTGGCGATCATATGCTCTATCTCCTCAGGTAATGCAACTTTCTTCTTCTTAAATTTGTTTATGAATGTTTCATCGATACTAAAATCAACTCCTCTGGAGTACTTTCGATTGTTTCACGATGTTTATCGTAGAATTCTTCGATAATTCTTGGTTCACACGCCATGTATCTTGATTCTTCAATCTCTTGGCATGCCTTAAGCTTGCAATGCAATTGCTGTAAAATATGGTTAACATAAGGTCTCGATACATCATCACCAACCAAGAGTATTGATAACTTCTTCTGCAAGAGTAGGACAATTAATCTCAAGAAGGAATCTGTAACCATAATCTCTTCTGAGCTCTTTCAACTTGAACGCCTCGTCAATAATGTCAGCTGCTTCTAGAGCTTCACCTTTGTAAGCAGAATCTTCGATAATTTCTTTTAAAGTGAGCTGATCACGCTCGCATAGGTATGGATCTGCACCGCCATGATTCCCTTTTTCCCAGTATAGACCTAATGCAGCTCTTTTAAGTGCAGTAGCAATGAGATTGGATGTAAAAGTTCCGAGATCTGGGTATTCTTCCTCCCATGCAAGCTTAGTTTGACTATATGTCATACCTTCGGCGCGACAATTGATGATAAACTTTTGTTGTCTACCAAGAAATTCGACTGTGAGAAATTCCATTTTTAATTTTAAACGAGCACTTGAGCCACGTTTTATCTGACTTCACCAGCCAAAAAGCCCCTGTACTAAGTGTCATGTTTTTGTTTATTTTAAAGTTTCTGCCATGTAATGGTTTACATTGCAAATTTTTTGAATACTTTACGTCACCATAAAATGGCAGTACAAGGCTAGTTTATCGGTACAAGGCTCTTGAAATGACTTTAATAACATCGTTTAAGGTTAATCATTTTTTATGTCAGTTTTGGATGAGTTCAAGATTTGTCTAGTAGCGTGGGTCTATTTTCACCCAGCCATAAGGGACACGTATATTAGAGAATTTCATGGTATATGCCTGTAAACGACATGAAAAACTATTCTCAATTATTTCCCAGAGGATGCCTGCGTATCTACCCTAAAATATCCGTGATAATTCTCTAAGAATAACTCCATTTCAGTTAATAGGAAAGTATGCAACTTATAGAGACTTTGAAGGAAATTCTTTTGAGACTTCACTTGAATCCAGAACTAATATTTTTTTGAAAAAAAAATCACTAAAGTCAATATGTATGAATACGTTTCCAAGTTCCCTCGGAGTTCCATTTGATAACTTCCAATTTCGAGTTGTGCTCAATTTATGATTGATGAGGAAATATCGGGACTATTGTCAAGAAATCAGAAAGACTTAAAACAAATATGGTTATTCAATGAATTATATTGAAATGGGTTCTTGCAATTACAACAATTACCTCAATTTAGTCGGAATTCACTTGATATTATCATTTAACATACGAATGAAAACCGACGGAGATCATAAATCAGAAGTATTTCGTAGTTTGATAACAATGCAAAATCTATACGATATTGAGAAGATGTAAAGTGAAGAGAAAATTTTATTGAGAGAATGAAAGGGTTCCGTAGAGTCCGTTTTGAACCAAAAGAGAACGGCATACATGTTGCAAATCTTCCACCAACAGTAACTGTTGAGTTTTTAAAGTCCTTATTCTCTGAAGCAGGCACAGTAATAAACGTTATCCTTAAACAGAAGCCTACATCATGCTATGCATTTGTTGATTTTACTCTACAAGAAGAGGCAGAAACTGCTGTACGTGATTTCAACTATACAAAGCTAAATGGAGAAACAATTATTGTTACAAGAACAACAGCACCAGTTGTAAGTGCAATTTCATCTGGACAAGGAAACTTATTCATCAAAGGATTAGATGAATCTATTGATTGCTTACAACTTCACGAATTATTTGCAAATTATGGAGAAATCGTTTCATGCCGTATTCCAACTCTGAATGGACAGCCACGTGGATTTGGATATGTACAATTCCTTAAACAAGAAGATGCAGAGCATGCTATGAAAGAACTTGCTGATTCTACAGTTAATGGAAAACCAATTCAGATCGGTCCATTCCTCAAGCGCTCTGAACGTCCACTTAGTGCTGCATTCCAGAATAACTTAGACTCATCATTTACCAACGTATTCGTTAAAAATCTCCCAGATAACATCAATACTCTTCTTTCGCTCTTAAGACTCTTCCACGAGTTCGGAGATGTTACGTCAGCACGTATTGTACCAGAAAGACACATCGGATACGTAATGATGTCTGAACATGAAGCTGCAGTTCGAGCTGTCGTTGGCCTTTGCGGAAGAACAATTTTCGGAAAGCGTCTTTCAGTTTGCCGCTCCCTTTCTCCAGCTGAAAGAGCCAATTTCATCAAAAAGCCAATTGAAGAAGTTGATCTCCCAGCAGATTCCGCAAACAAAGACAAGCCAACTCCAGAACAAACACCAAGCTCATTACTCAAGCAGCCAGAAGACACTTTAGCCAAGGCTGTTGGTTCAATTGAAATGAAAGAGAAGCCATTAAGGGAAGCTCAGCAACAAAAGCAAACCCAACAACAATCCCAGCCAGCACCAAAGCCAGCTGCAGCTCCAGCTCAGCCACAATCACCTGCTCCACCACAAGCACCTTTAATTGACCCTGTTCTCTACCAGCAACAAGTCAATTACTACTACCAACAGCAGATGATGCAGCAACAGATGATACAGCAGCAAATGTACGGTAATCCAGTGCAGCCAATGCAACCTCCTCCACAAAGAGGTCCTTTACCGATCAACCCCCAATTAGTACAACCTCCCCCTCAAATTCCAGTACAAGTCAGTGTAGAACCACCTTCATCGAAACCAGCACCAAAACCAGTTCCAAAGCAGCCACAACAACAAAAGGAGAAGACAACAAAGGCTACTTTCGAACCCCCGCCAAAACAACAAGCTCCAATTCCATCTCCTACTGATATCATGGTATCTTCTCCAAAGACAATGATAAAACTTGTTCCTACTAAGGAAGATGTACTCGCTAAGCCTCCTCCACCATCTGTTCCTGCAAATACTCCTCAATCTAATTCCCAATCTGACCAGGATCAAGAACCAGAGCCAGAACTGGCTTCAGGTTCACAGAGTGACTCTGGAAATGATATTCCTCCAGCTAAACCAGCACCAGCTCCAGCACAACCGATTGGAAACACAAGAACTCGCCAGGAGTATATTTCTTCGAGCGATGATGATAGACCAGTTGCATCCCCAGCAAATCCATTTGGATTTATGGGCCAGAAATAAGTAACTAACAAAAAATAACAGATTTTATTATCTGATTTACGGATTTTTATAACAAAATAACATAATCAAACAACAAAGAACTTAATTGCTTTGTAAACATTCTTGATTTTTTAAATTCTTTTTATTGGCGGGAGAAATTTTTTAATTGAATAGTTTACAACAATTCAATGAGCTTTATCAAATATATCTAAATTTACAAAAACACACAAAGTAATAAAAAAAAATTATGCAGGTGAAAGCGCCATCATCTTATGTGGCGCCCATCACTTTCAGCATTATCTCAAAGATATTTCTTCCAAAGCGTGTAATGGAGAACGTAAATAAGTTATTCGCTAATTGGTTGAATACAAAATATTCATATCAAGTTTTTACGCAACAATTACAGAAACTAATTAATGATTATGAAATAGTGAACAATTCATGGCAAGTTCTCCAAAATAAAAAGCAAATGTCGCAAGTTCCGCAATATCAAGCTATTTATAACGCAGTTTGTACCTTTGAAATGCATAACATACCTAGACAAATCCTCTTTTCATACATAGCGATGATTGTCCAGGCAATGTATAGCGGAACTTCGAAGAAGGCTTTTATTACACAAATTTTATCGCAAAATTTTCCTTCCACTTTTAGAATTAAAATACAGGATTTAATGCAACACGCTTTCGCAATTTTCGATATACTACCAAAAGCAAAACAAGTTGTTATCAGCAAACAAAATGAAGTCCTCATAAATAATTCCGACGATGAAGGCCAAAATGAAGCCCCGCCGCCCCCACCACCACCTCCGGGACCGGCAAAGAGAATATCTTTATCTTATATTGAAGTTAAAGTTCCTCTCTCTCAAAATCCAGGGGTTTTGATATTCAACAACGTCTCAAGATCCGTTGCTATTGGTAGTGAAGGCCAAACTACAGAACATATGAGCGAATCAATCCGTTTTATTTCAGATTTACAGATTTACATGGATACAACGTTCGAAACTCTTGTCCGATCTGATCAGACATACAGATCCATGCTGTATGCCGGACAGAGCGACGGAATTTTATACAGAAGTGCAGTTTTGGAATTATACGGAAATTATGGACGAGAAATTCTTGCATTTCCTCGTGAAGTAGTTGAACCCGTTCTCAAGGAAAGATGCATGAGCGTTATATCGGATGTATTTAGCGGCAGAACCCATACAGAAGAGAAAGTTGATTTAATGACGAATCACGTACCAAAGTTTGACTTTTCACCTACGGTTTCTTTCTCAACCCAAAAGTCTCCCATCAAATTCTCATTCAGTGCTCGCTCAACATTAGTTGCCGACTTATTACATCGAATCGGAACACTTCACTCGAAACAACTGATCTCCTTTTTAGACACAATGATGCCATTATTCGTTATTACGCGCACCGATGAGCGGATTTGCATCATTGGAACAGATGCAATTTCGAATGCTTTGTATTTGTTCTCAAAATGCGCAACAGCCATCGACAGCTTCTTCGGATCAGCACTTCCAGAAGATCCCAGTCTCGCGGACATCATTAGGGCCGCGGAATGTGAAGCAGCGAACAAATATTCACCAGTTACAGACACGCACATCGAAGAATTTCTCGAGGACTTCTTGAAGAAGTTCTTCGCATTCGAGTACAAGTTCTACGAGCTCGTGGAAGAGGCGGAGAACAGATACGGACGTGCTTCGAAGGCTTTGTTCACTTTGACAATGTATATTACACAACTCGACGCTCTTTGCTCGAGATTTGCTGCACAATACAAATTGTCGAAGTTTGGAACACTCGCAAAGTTCTTCTCAAGAGCACATGGACCTCACGCAAAAGAATCACTTGAAGCAAGGTTCCCAACTTATTTGAAGAAGTCCCAGAATTTGTTACTTTCCCCTCTTGTCAAAATTGAGATGAGCTCAGATGAACCAGACGCTGTAATTACTCCAATATAAATTTTGTTTTATGATTAATTAATACTACAAGTTTTTTTTTAATGATCCATATGAATTACTTCTAAATTACTCCAATGTTGTTTTATTAGTGGGATGCACACACACATACTCCTTTACTATATAACTAGCTTTGGACTGTATCTTCATCGAAATATCTGTTCAAAATACATACAAAAAAAGGTGTGCTAATCTATTTTTTTTTTGCTCCGGCACTAAAAATGCTACATCTTGGCATATAACAGTCTAAATCAAGAATTTTTAAAATTCCAATGCATAGAATACAATTGCAGCTGTTGTATTCTGCTGTATTTATCAATTATTTGGATTTCATGATGTTCAATATCTGTTCATAAAAATAACAAACCTATCATAGAAAATAACTACTCTCAAAGTCAGACAGTTGCAAGATAAGCTAATTATTCATGACATCTTAAGATATTATTCAAAAATTGAGTGCCAAAAATTAGAATTCTATCTTGAATCAGTTTTTTTTGAATATGGATATGATATAAAATTAGGGATTTATGATTTAGTAAGGTCTTACAAAAATGACAGTTTACATATGTAAGAGTGAATGATAGCTATTCTAATCATTTTTCTCAAAGCTCAGAACCTCTCAGTAATACATGATGCCAATTTAAAGAGCGGTTATCATAATTATATTCAAGTTTTTAATTCTCTTTACAAATTAAATTCAAATAACAAAGAATACAGTACAAAAGTATATAATTCAATCAAGGTTGACCTCATAGAAACAATGTATTTTACTCCAATTCAAATTATTAGTATATTGGGAGATATTTATTACCACAGATATTGTTATGGCAAATGTTATATGGAACTTGCTACAAAAATTGCTGAAGAATACCATTGCGAAAACAATTTACATATAAAAGACGAAAGTCCATTTTTTAAAGCCTTGATCAATGATAATCTCGGAGAATTTATATCATTAACAAATGGAGGTAAAGAGACATCTACTTTAACACTTCAATTTTGTTGCCGACATGGTGCAATTAATTGTTTTAATTATTTACGATCGGAAAGGAACATAACAATAGACTCTTTATGCCTTTGTAATTCATTTATTGGTGGAAATTTAGACATCATTAAAGAATGCTTGAAATATAAAGAACCTGATTATGATGATGCAGTGGAATATGCAATTTTTTCTCATGATTTAGACTTAATTAATTTTTTGAGGGATAATTATCATTTAGAAATTAGTCCGTATTATTGTGCCATGCATGTTAACCTTGAAGCATTTTTGCTTTATTATGAAAAAACACACAATATTAATAAATGCTTTAAATATTCACCAGGATTTGGTATTCCTTCTCTTTGCGAATTTTCCCTCTTGAATCTTGCAAATATCAATTCATTCGATTTCGATGGAAATGCACTTCATTGCGCAATAAAATATAATCATATAGATATTGCAAAATATATAATTTTACACGGTATTGACATGAATTATAAAGTCAAATTATATCAAACACCTCTTCTATATGCGCTATCACATAATAAAAAAGATTTTACTAAGCTTCTTGTTAATTCTGGAGCAAATACAAATATATTGACAGATGAATTCGGCCAATCTGCTCTACACTATGCAATAATAAATGAAGATCAAGAAAATGCAGCCCTACTTATTTGGCATGGTTCAAATGTAAATGCAAAGAATCAAAAAAGTGGTGCAACGGCACTTCATTTCGCATCATTATTAAAGAATAAGGAACTTTTGGATCTTCTAATTTCAAATGGTATTAATGTTGATACAAAAGATTATTATGGAAACACTGCTCTTATGATTTCACTTTTATTCAACTTTGTTGAACATGTGAACTTTTATAAGTCGTTCAGTGGGCACTTCGATTATCGTGAATCAACAAATAACAAAAATAGTACGGAAGTTGTTGAATTTCTTATTGCTAAAGGTGATGATGTAAATGTCAAGAATAATCAAGGAAATACTCCTCTTCATCTGGTTTCATTATTTTCTGATATAATCCAAGCTAAGTATCTTATTTCTCAAAATGCAAAAATTAATGAAGTCAATTGATCTCTTGATATTGCAATTATTTATAATAATGATGAGATGAAAGAATTTCTTCTTTCTTATAATGCAAAAACAAACAACAGCAGCAGCGTGATGAAGGTGCAACCTGATGGTATAATGAAAGAGTTTATTTTAACCTATCGTGATGCTAAAGGGTACAAGCCTTCGCGTTTTCTTAAAAGTGCAAAAAATGCGCTAAAACGACTATTTAACATTAGAACGATCTTTACGATTCTCCTTGGCCCAGTTTTATATATTTTTGATCGTTTAATGCGTAAATCCGGCTATTCATTTATGGCGAGAGTATTTATATGGTTATTATATGGTTTTCTTTTCAGCTCTTTGCTTATGCGCGCGAAATGATATTGATGCTGATTTTATGAAAGTATTTTGGTTTTATAGTTATCAAATTATTTATTGGGACCACAAATGCTTGCTATATTAATAAAAAGCATTATGTGTTTGTTTAATAAAGCAGATTCATGATAACAAAATGCATTTTTTTTTTTCATTTGAATTGATTAAGTCATTTTAACACTTTAGAAACAAATATCTCATGTATGGAAATATATTGTAATATAACTTACATAATATTTTGGTATTATAAAAATAATTTAATTTTTTTTGAATTTCTTCAGCAATTCCAAATATAAAATTCATTAGACTCATATTTTAGATAGTAAAATTCACAACAAAAATGAAAGATTATTGGTTTTCATTAAAAATTTTTTTTAACTAAGCTTTTTTAAAAAAAACATAGCAATACAAAACACTTTACAAACATAATATAACAATGTTAATACATACTATTCCAAGCAAGCAGAGAGGATCTCAGATAACACTTTGTAGCTGTAAGAAACAGCTTTCGATCTTGCATAATCTATCTCAGACATGAATTTACTTGTAATAAGAGTTGCAATCATAGTCTCAGGTTCTCTCGGGCTTGGAGCTTTCACTATATACTTCTTACATATATAGAGAAATTGCAAACATTCATCGACACTTGAAAGAACAACTTCTCCTGTATAGATGTAGCTAAGCATACTCTCTATCTGTTTAATGGAAGTTGAGAAGAGGTCTTCCATTGTTTGGGTCACGTCTTCTTCGAATCCCGAAGAGAAAAGGGAATAAAAGAATTCCGATGAAGATGCTAAAATAAATCTATGAACACTAAAAATTTTCCCATGAGCAGATATTTTAAAGTCTGAACATGTCTTCTCTGTATATAGACGTCTCATATCAGCTATATATTTCTCTCGGAAGTCACTCGATGGAAATGGAATTCCGATTGTTCCAAAAGTTGGTCGTAATGATTCACTTGGCATCAGACCAGCATATAAATATTCTAGAATTTGTTTGAAGGGTCCAGAATCTATTTTTTGGATATTAGTTCGACATCGTTCTTGCGATTCACGGAATAATGGCCATCTATTAAATAAAAGAGCTTTGTGAAGACCCAATGGTACACCATCGTTTGTAGTAACCAAAAAATCTGGATGATCGGGCCTTTTTTTCATGGATTCCATTATTTTTTGCCAAATATAGTCTCAATTTTAACTTTACATTGTCAAATTTATTTTTATTTTTCCTGACTAGTGTTCACTGATCTGTACTTTCCATTATACATCAGATTTTCATGCATCAACTACAAGTTCAAAGAATTTCAAGTAGAATTTAACCGACTTTTTAATTTAGGGCCATTTGTACAATAATTCGATGTTGTAAACATATTGGCATGACAATAGTTAAGACGTTTAATCTTATTTAGAATATTTCCGATAAGCCACTATTTTCCTTTATTAAGAATACGTATCTCTTGCTAGAATATAATTTTTTCTCATAGTGCATTGAGAAATTACAGTGTAGTTAATAATAAACGAAATAATTTTTATTTGAATAAAAATATAATGCAGATTTATTTTAATGGTAGTAATTTTATCTAACACTAAGGCAAATGTTTTGAATTTCTCAGAGTAATGTATATAATGGAAGAAAATTTTATGAGGAAATATTAATTGTTCAATTATACGGTATCAATAATATGGATCTAGCGAACCACTGCTCTATATATCAAAATAGAATGCACTGTAGAAGAAACCTTAGTTCATAAAATTTTGAATAAATTTATAAAAAAATATTTTGAGAATTAAAATACTAAATATGTTTTTAAAAAACACTAAAAAGCTGATACGAGTTTTGCTAAAACAAAAGCAATTTCGTAATCAACCATAAAAATTATTGAATCCAAAACTTTGGTAAAGGAGCTGCACATGGTGTTTGGGGTTTTGGAGGTGTAAACAATGGGAGGATCCGGTTAAATTTAAATGGAGCATCAATATTTTCAAGATATTCAACCCTTTGTTTTTGGTTTTTGCGGTAAAAATCAGGCTTCATTTCAATTCTACTATACTGAAGTTCACAAATTTTCTGTTTTTCCAGATCCATGTCTTTAACAAGTTTATATTTTGATATTGTATTGGCAAAGATGGTTTTAGGAGTAGGGTAAACTGTACATATTATATCGCCATCAGTCATAGAATAAAACTTAAATGTTAATGTATCAACAAGCTTCATTCCTTTGTATAAAAATATACAATCATTACCTTCGTACTGTCTTAGCGAAGAAATATTACTCTCTGGATCTACATGTACATCGCGAATACCATTAATGTTATTTAATGTTTTTAAATAAAGAGTGCGAGTCTGGCCAATGCTCATTCCGAAATAATAAACAATAAAAATCTGTTTTGATAGACGGTTCAATTTTTTTGTTGGTTTAGCCATGTAAAATAATATCATTATGTATTATAGTATTAAAGGCATTTTATTCATTTTTGTCTGACAATTTCTGAATGTGAAATTGAAAGCGATCTTTCAATCAAAGATTTACATCGAAAATAAGGTCACTTTATATCAATAATCTAATTTTCTAATTTTTACATTTTGAAAGCATTATTCAATGTGAGGCTAAAAGCTCTTTCAATTTTAAATTGAAAGTGCAAACGTGAATTCAATACTTACGAAAAATATCACTGCCGATAATTTAATCAGAACGTTTCATAATGGTCATAGCAATTATTCAACGATTAGGTTTTTTTTTAATTTCAGTGTTTTGAAAAAGTAATCAAAAATATCGAATCATCAATGATAAACTCTGAGTAATGGATAGCAATTGCCCATTTAAAATGATTAATAAGAGTAAAAGTTTGAAAAAATTCAATGTTTCTATCACTATATCATTCAACTATATATTGATTAAATCAACATGTGAATGAAATTAAATTATTCAATATTGGCTCTGCTTTTTTTTTATCAAGGATTTAATTTCCGGTAAAAACAGTTCTCCAATGCCAAAGGAGATCTATACAAATGGTTCAACATTAATTGTTGATAGAATAATTAATTTTGACACTCGAATCTTTACACTTGCGGAACTAAACAAGATTTTTCTTTTTGGATCTACATAAAATATAGTCTATTGCAAATAAATCTGATAATTAGAGGAAAAATGTCTATTTTATTAATTTGTGAATTGAAAAGTCCACCAATCTTATTGATAATAAGTAAAATATTATTTTTCCTGGATATCACTCAAATTTTATTATAAAAAACATATTTGATCTCAAATCATATCATTAATCCATTTTTTTTTTAGGAATTTCGTCAAAGCCAGTTCTTTTGTTCCATCATGTATTAATATCCTATGTACAACTTCAAATTTTGCTTCGTCTTCTCATAAAAAACAAATTAGATCTTTTTATGGAATAAAAAAGCATTTGAAATGTTTTGATCCTTTGAATAGTGACATTTTCACATTACAACCAAAAATTATATGCAGTGTATGGAAGAAAACTCTAAATCATGCTAAATTAATGTTTCATATACTCTAAATTCGGAAATATTTCACAATTTATCATCGCCCAAGACAAAATTCGTATACTCAGAAACAGTAACAACAGTGGTACCCATTTCATATACATTTATATGCTCAAAATAAAAAATTTCATGTTGATCAAAGAATAAGAGGACAATTAAGGCGTTTCCATCTGGAAACTAACAATTTCACTTTATTAGAAATTTCAACGACAAGCCTAAATCTAATCGATTTGGCAATTTTGATGCTTTTTCATTCATCAAAGATGATAAATGCAAGATATGACATAGTAACTAAAAATTTATCCAATATTTTGATTGTAATAATAGAAGAAATGACAATTTCTTTCTCATCGAAGAAATTAAAATCAAAATAATTCAAGACTTACGGCTGTCAAACAATTTAAGGATTTAAATCAGAAGATGAATTAATTTGTCAAAAGCAATTATGAGCGGAATTTCAGATGTTTGGAATGAATGTTTGAAACTTTGAAAACATGATAATTCATCGCTTTCGCATTTTCTGAAATGAATACAATATTATGATTGAGTTTACTATGTCCATTATTACACTAATCATTTCTTATTTGTATCGATCAATAGACTAATATGGATGAACTTCTCTTATAGTAGCCACAATTAAATATTCTAATGCCAAGAACAGCTTATGAAAAAAGAATAAAGGATGAACTACAATTGACTTTGATACACAAATGAATAATAATGAATTTATTGAAGATTTGTTTTATTAAGGAGTTCAGGAAAATACAATAACTAATTATAGTGCTCAAAAACAGAAAAACGATTAATATAACTATATTTCATGTAGGAAGCATTGATGCTAAATTGGAAAATGACTCAACTCATCTTGGATTCGTTTTTGATAAATAAAATGTTAACTAAATATTTAGTGATGCCTATCAGTATTAGAGATTTATTATTCTGTAAAAGTATTCAATCAGCGATTTTTAATTTCCATATACGCAAAATTTATTCTATTTTCTCAATTAAAAATTCTATTTAAAACATTATCAAATTTCGTTAGAATCCAAGCTATTACTAATATTTTCATGTTGCTCTCCCTCGTTTTCATCATCAGAAACAATCTCTTCTTGTGTTGGTTTCATTGATTGTTTCTTCTTTTTCTCGATAACTTTGTATACAATAAATATAAACACTCCAACTGCAACAATTATTGTTAATATAATAGCGAGTATAAGGATTATACCACTTAAACCGCGGTTTAACTTTTCTTCCTTCTTATTAAATTCTATGACATCTTCCTTCGAATTTCCATTTCCATTTGATGGCAATCTTAAAAACAAATCATTTTCGAAGATTTCTTCATCTCCCTCTTCTTCAGTTGAATTTTCCTCAGATGGAACAATTTGAACTTTAACTTTAGCTTTAAGTTTAAATGTTGTAAGGTTTTCTTCTTCGCGAATAAACTTGAAGAGGTCATAATATGGATAAATAGTAACTGTATTATGTGAAACTTCATTTGTTGTGAATTCATTAGATGTAGTTAAATAATTCGATATTTCTTTATTGTCACTATTTACTGTAACATTAAATTTCTTATTGTTATGAACAGTAATTGAAAAGATTTCAATTTCATCGTTATCAATAGTGATTTCTTTTTCTATTGAAAAGTTTGTTTTTGTTGTGAATGTTGATTCTATTTTCATTGGCGTCATAAATAATCTCTTTTGAATAGGAGGTAAAACACTTACTGCTTGAACTTTGCATGCTTCAGTTTTAGATTTGCATTCCAATTTGATTAACTGGCTCAATCTTTCATCATGAATTTTTGTTGTTATTGTGAATGGATTTTCATATGTCTCTAAAATTGTTTTTGGAGCATTTTGTTTCGTATATACATTATAATGCTTTGTATCATTGTATACAACAGTTGCAATGAAATCATCTTTGCTATTAAATACGAAATTACCATATAAACATTGACTTTTTCCTGGTTGGATTGTAAAAACTTTTGAATCTGTGTATTTTAATCCTAAATCATAGTTTACAAAATCAGGACTCCAAATTTCATTATCAAGACATGAAATAGTATTATCAGATAAATCGTAAGGATCAAACTCAAGCTCATTATAGAATGGATGATGCAAACTTGTGAAATCTTCAACTTGGGACTGCGTATAAACTCCGGATTTTGTTGGAATCAAATACTTTTTTTCCATTTGGAAATATGATTTTGTAATTGATTCATTATTGTCATAATAAGCTAAATAATAATCTCCTCTTTGTGATGACTTTTCACAGTTTAAATCAACAGTCAACAATGCTGTTTCGTTTGAGAAGTTTCCAAGAGTTGAATTAATATTATATCCTGTAAATGAAATTAAATGCATTGATCTTCTTATTAAAATATTAGAATCAGAGTCTTCCATATGCTTAGCAACAAATCGTTGGCAGAAAAATCGTTGTGTCGAAAATATTGAATAAGATAGATCACTTCCATTGATTTTGGAAGCGTTTATTTCTATCAATTGGAGAGTAAACGGTTCTGATAAACTTGCTGCAGATATTTTCGAAATAATCTTGTTTTGATCTGTATCAGGTTGAATTATTGCGAAAGGATCTTCAAAATGATGAAAAATTGGATAGTTTCGATAATTTGAATTATAGTAATCGACTATGATTGATGTGTTTGAAGCAATAACTACACTATGATCGTTACAATACGCTTTTCCAGCTGGAATTTGTACAAAATAACGGCCAGCAACAGGCGAAAGGTCAAAATTATCTTGATAACAGTCTGTAAGATACTGATTATCGTAAGACTTGACTCTAAAAATTAGGTATCCAATAAACACTGACTCGATTTCAAGGAAAAGGTGACATTTTTACACATTTTTTTCTTCCTTCAAAAAATCACAAAAATTTAAGATTTTGCGATCAGTATTTTCAGATTTATATTCGTGATTTCAATCTGGAATGATCGCTAGTTCTGAAAATAATTGTATAATTGAATGACCTCCAGGTCTCATCCATTTCAAAATAGTGCATTACTATATATTATGCCAGATAATGCAAATATATTTTTGATAACTTGTAAAAAATTTTACATTTTTGAATTCCAAATTTATATTATTTGGATAAACATATTATTGCAACAACAAAAAACATTATTTCGATTTTTCCCGAAATCTACCTTGAAAGGCATTATTATTTTATTAAATATAAGCAATACATTATCTGATATTTGATTTTCTGCAAAATTCTCAGCCATTTTCTTCCAAAGTTCTTTACATTGAAATTGACATATGTGTTTTCAATCACATTGAAAAGGAAGAAAAGTCACTTTTTCTTTTTCAAAAAAAGAGAATCAAAAGTTTTAGAAAAGTTATATTGTAATGACAAAACTAAGTAAAACAAGCGCAATCATATCTTTAATTACGTTCTTACAAAATATTGGATCTGTTTTAGATTTCAAAAAGTTCATTGTTTCACCAAAAGTCCAGAAGATTTGTGGATTTTTCAAAAATCTCATTAGTGTCATTGCAGATAACACACTTGGGTTAATCAAAAATACTGACTTCAACTTCATGATCTCGTTCATCATTTTTTTATTTTCAATATTAATTTTCTCGTCAAGTTTTGTTCATGGACTTGAAACAAACAATGATCTTATTAATACAATAACATGTTTATTAACAGCTTTACCATTATTCTTTTTAATATATTTTCAGGTAAATTATTATTTTCAAATACTTGGTGCAATTGTTTCTCCGATTATTTTCTTCTCAATTTGATTTTTTGCATGTAAAAATCGGAGAAGATTATTTGATGATATTAAATTTGTTGAATCAGAAGAACATTACAATATGCAAAGAGAAATCATACAAAATGAACATACAGAGGAGGAATTGGTTGACATGATTGATAAAATAATTCATTTTGAACGACCTCATAAAGCAACTGATATATTCAAAATATTTGCAGGAATAATCTTGATCGTAATAGTGATTATATTTAGAAAACAATATTTCATCATAGTTCCTATAGCCATATGTGCATTGCTTTTACTTTTTTTGGGAGTCCACAGCCTTATTAAAAAGAAAACATCATTGGACCATTATCTAGATAATTCAAGTGGACATGATGTATTTATTTTTGCTGGAACATTATTATTGAATATTTTATATATTCCACTTTTATCTTATTTCTTCCAATTGGCCTATGTCACTACAACTCAATGCCCAGCAGGCTATTACTGGGGATCATTTATTGGAGATACAGTAATTCAAAAAACAACAGCGCATTGTATTCCATGCAGCTATACATTAAAGCAAAAATATCCTGGAATCGAAGGATATTTAAATGACTTGGTCTATCCAGATTTATCTTCATTCATTAAATACAAGTTTAAGAGATTTGTGTCAAATAATCCGGAAATTTATTACGACACTTTTAATGGAACAAATAACACAGATTATGAATATAGTTATGCAATGTGTCCTCAATTATGTTCAGGTCATCCAGTTCGCATTATCAAATATGAACCATCACTTTACTTTGATTATGATATTTTACCTAAGGATGTTTTGCTATTTCTATGGGGAATAGTATTTGTTATGATTGGATGCCCTGTTTTATTTTTTGTATTGGTTTATAGAGCAAGAAGTGAATTCAAAACAATTTTGGCTTATGGAGAGACAAAAGAAAACAGATGACATTCATTAATGCTAAGAATATCATCAACTGGATCTAAGTTTTGCAAAGATTATAATTATTTCAATCCTTATTTTGAAATTGTCAAGATTATATACAAATTCTTTGTTTTGCTTGTAACATCATTTGCAAATTATGCAAGCAGTTACATCATTGTTTGTCTCCCTGTGTTACATCTTTTGATGTTTATCTTAACATTTTTTAGGAAGCCTTATCTTTCATTCCTCAACAATGTAGTTGATTGCATACTTTATGCTATTAACACGATAGTCGGAATCATTACTTTTGTTAACATTATCAAGCCATTACCAGATAAAGTCAATTCATGGACTATTATCATTTCAGATGCAGCCGGTATTCTTGCAACAATCGTTACAATAATAGGTGGTTTGTTATTTAAGAATGAACCTAATGATCCGACAAGATTCACAGAATTAGATTTACGTAGATTTAAAGAGGAAGAAAAGGCAAGAAAGAAGAAACAGAAAGAAAAACATTCATATACTTATTCGGAAGAAAGTTATGATGAACAAATGGAGGAAGATGATAACAAAGATACTAAAACACCAAATGAAAATGCACAAAAGGAAGAACTAATTGAAATTCCAAAGGAATTAATTCAACCAGTTGATGGATCGCATGAAGTATTGGATAAGGATATAAATCAAGATAGAATTTACACATGCTGAAGATTCAATACTTTTTATATGATTTATGATTTTTTAGTTAAAGATGCTGAATATTCGATTTTGTTACGCTATGCAAGATTGATGGGCATTATGGGATTAGTTGCCTCATTCCCCGGAGTAATTATGAAGCATATCAGACGTTCTTGCATCGATTATAAAAAATGGTTTTGAATTGTATTAAAAATATGATTTTTTTTGAGTTAATAATATTTTTTATAATCAATAAAAAAGAACAGAATAAGCTCAACTATATATAATAAAATACTTATATAAATGTATACTTTTACCAAAGTGAAACAGAATTTATACATTTAACAACATTTAATATCTTTATTGGCGCATATACAATTAGCAGCAAGAAATTTAAGTATTCTGAAGTCAAAATCATTTCATAACATGCTAAAATAAATTAATTTGAAAGCTTTGAAAATGGTTTTGAAGTTTTAGATTTTATTTCAAACATTTTAAATACAAAAGTAATAAAGTATGTTCAATAACTGATGCAGCAAATGAAAGTTAGATTTTATTTCAAAATTTTCATGATAATTGTAAAAACAAGTGGAGAAGAAGGTTTCGATTTAAGATTTTATTTGCCGCTATAAATCCTAATGTTGAAGCAAGTAAATTACTTGGAACTTCTCAAGCAATTAACTTTGATCAAAGAGATCAATTTGGCGCATCAACACTTCATGATGCAGCATTAAATTCGAATGTCGAAGTTATCAAATACCTAGTTTCTCTTCAGATAATTAACATTAATGTATTAGGTTATAAAAATAAAACACCACTTCATTATGCAGCTCATATTAAAAACATTGAAGTTTTCAAATAACTTTAGTCTCTTCCAAATAAATGCGATAATTGAATATCAAAACTTGAAGAAATACATTTGTGAATCTTTGTAAATAAATTTATTTTCGATCTATGAGAATTAGATAAATAAATTATATCAATGATAAATTTTACATTGAGCTCAATTGAATATGAGGATTAATCAAAGAATATTGAAAATTGTTATGATGATGAAATATTTTATGATATTATGACTGTATTTGTTTTTTTTTGATCTTGTTGATTTTTAACAATTTTTCAGAGAAAAAAATAAAGTTTTTAAAATGATTTTATAAAAAAAGTAGTTTAAGAAAATTAGTTTTTATTATGAATTAGTTGGAAGCTTTATGATTTGTAATTAATTCATAACTTGCAAAATACTTCCTTTTTTTGTATCATCAACAATAGACAAAGCTGTTTCATCATAAATTTTAAGCGGCCAAATAATTCCAATTAACATCACAATATAGAAAGGAGCATATAAAACTAACATGTATTCACCAAGATAAGAATTAAACAACTATCTGTGAGTCTCATGGAATGGTCCTGATTCACTATCAACTGCTATTTCGATTGTTTGATTTAAATTTCCAGAAATTGTCAAATTTTGAACTCCGCTTTGGAATTCGAATTCTTTTGAATACAAAGAAACATCTTCATCAAGATATTTCTCCCATTTAAGCTCTCCTTCAATTCCTTTTCCTTTCACTTTGAAACTCTTGTTCTTTAAATTTGAAAAAGTGACAATTCTGACAGGCATTTTTTTGTCTTTGAAATTAAAACTTTGTAATTTCGAAGGAGCAGGATTTGCTATTATACTTATTTGTGATTCTTCCATTATCCAATGACAATAACGCAAAGGAATCGTATTTCTTCATCGACATCATTGTTAATTCCATTGTGTTTGCGTAATGAACAAATTCAAGTTTTTTAGGATGAACATGGCCTGTCAATAAACATGTGACGTTGTATTCTCTGATCAGGTCTTCGTAGGTCTTCCCGGATGTAGATCGAGCACGTAATGGATAAATAAACTCATGAGTGAAGTGACAGACAATAAAAACGTATTTCGCCTCACTTTTTTGTTGTAATTCACGTTCAAGTTCGTCTAAGTACTTTGTAACAGTATAATGAAGTTTACGGTAGAATTCATTGATCGAGAAGGCATAAAATATCAAAAAATAGAGAAAAATGATAAGAATCAAATCAAATGTTGTCAAAAAGCCATTCACCGAAATAATGATCGTAAAATTAAGAAAAACAATATCACAATATTTTCAAAAATTTGGTTATGGCTTATTGTCATAATCATATAGATGATCATGGCCATATCGACATTTAAAATTTTCAATGTATCAATAGAAAAAAAAGTTTTTCCAAATATAGTTCTGAATATCAATATTTCAAAAGAAAATCATTTTCGTTCTATGAAATCCGGTCATTGATGATAACTAAATAAAGTTTACCTAATTTCATCAAAATTGTCTTTTTCAATTTCGAATAAACTTCACTAAAGGCTTTGCATTTGTCTCATTGCAAATACTTGTAATTTGCGTTCAAAGACAAAGAGATAGTGATTGGCACAGAAAGTTCATTAGAAGCCAAATTCATGAATTCTGCAAATATTTCGCTTTGTAGCACAAAAATACACACACACAAACAAACAAAACAAAACAAAAACAAACAAACAAACAAAAAAAAAAATGAAATTTTTATTAATCAGATTGTTCAGAAATTTGACTTCCCTGCATAGACATTTTATTAATGCTATGACTATCTCTAATTGCAAAAACTCTATAATTTGCGTCCAAAGCTAAAGAGATAATGATTGGCACAGTAAGGTTACCAGAAGGCTCATTGCAGAATTCTGCAAATGGCAAATCTTTTGTTCTCACGAATTGTCTTTGTGGATCGATTGTAATTGTTTTCTTTTTCATAGCTACTTGACGATTTTGTCCAAAGAATTTCTTGATATCTTTATTTACTCTTGCTCTTACACTGATGTCCTCTCTTTTATTCAATTCAACAAGCTGATCAAGAAATGCATTATGAACAACTTTTATTACTGTAATATTTTTTGAATTGTCTAATAGAGTGGCTGTTTTGTAGTAACACGATACATAAATTGTTGCATCTTTGATATCTTGTAATAAATCGTTAACAATTGGATCTTTGGAATGAAGATAATTGATTTCATAAGTGTTGCCTTCATTAGTTTGGACATTAATTGAAAAACCGGAATTAACTGGAACTTTGGCTTTGATCGACATGATATTGACGCCTTCAACGTATTCTGGTGGAACTGTGAAACCATCTGTTTCCGAAATTTTCAAATCTGGTAATCTCTTATGAGAATTGAGTTTTTCGACAGCTAATTTGTTGCAAAGTAATGTAGAAATGATTTGGAACAGAAACGAACCTAATTTTTTTGGTATTTCTGTAATTTTGAAAATTGATAAATAATTTCTAGCTGAAAGGGGTGAAAATTTCAAATCAACATCAGCAAAGTTAGTAATCTCATTTGAAAGATCTTTGACTTGAAGTGATGGGTAGTCGTCAAGAATGAGATTGGGATATGATGCAATCAAAGTTGCCTTTGAAAGGAGTTTTTGTAGTTTAGTTCCATCGAATGAGTTTTTGTTGAATCTTATGATAAATATTTGGTTTTGGCATAAGAGACCAACAAGTTTGAATGATTTGTAAATTTCTTGAACAATGTATATTTTGTTATTAAGTTTGTCAGCAAGAAAATCATAAGTTTTATCATTGTTGCCGTCTAAAAGTGTAGCTTCCATATATTGGTCCTTAATATATTCAATTTTCATTGTTTGTCCAAGTTCCCAACTGATCTTATCTAACTCTATGTAATTGAAAAGAAGATTATTTGGAATCTCTTTTGGGACATTTTTTGGTTTTGGTTCTGATTTTGGCTTCTCTTGCTGGTATTTAGCTACCAACACGTTAAATTGTTTAACCAGGTCATAGCACTCATTAATCAAGGTTGAAATCTGAATTAAATCTTCAGGACGAACTTTGTAGGTCATTAAAAAATAAAACTTGACTACATTTCACTTCACGCTATGTGGAAATTTTTAACTTATAAAAATTATAAGACTAATGTAACGCAATATATAAAATTTGATTTTTAAATCTAAAATGTTTGATAAAGAGGCAAAATACAAAAAAGTGACAATTGATTTTTTAAAAATCAAAAAAATGCCAAAAATCCAAATAGAGCGAATCGATAAACGAGCACAACCGTTTCCAGGGAGTTTGGATGTTACTCTCGTTCCAAATCGAATCGCTCCATTTGGATGAGGCTTAAAGTTGCTAATTTAAAGCAAAGTACAAAGGCAAGATCAGAGAACAGAATAGGCCGTCGCTGTCTGCAGCATTCGCTGCCTTTTGCTTTCATGATAATTTTTGGCTGGATAACATAGTTATTCAGCCGATGTTCTCTTTTAACAAGGCACTGCAAAGCCCTGCAGACCATATACTCCCAATATTCAGCCAGCAACGCCCTGTCGTGCCTTGTTTTGTCGCTAAGTTTGGTTATAATTTCCCAATCAGACCAAACTTAGCGACGAAAGCGAAGGATAACTGCGACTTCGAACAGCAGAATAAGCACCTGCTGTTAGTCGCCGTTATCCTTCTCTGTCTACTAGAAAGCTGGGACAAAGTTTCCCAGCTATCTAGTAGAAACTCAAGGTTATGGGGTACTAATATATAATCAGTGCCCCCACAGCCTTTAGGTTCTTAGAAAAAAAAGAGAAAACTTGCTCGCAATTGTTCCGCATTGAGAGCAAATTTCCTCTTTTCAAGGGAGGAATTGCTCCTTATGAGGTACACAGTATGAGTACATACCTCATAAGGAGCAATTCCTCCTAGATGTCTGGGAAACTTTGAATTAGTTATCTTTTCAAGAAAGTTTCCCAGCTATCTAATAGAAACTAAAGGCTGCTAGGTACTAATATATAATCAGTGCCTCATAGCCTTTAGATTTTTATCAAAAACGAGAAAACTTGTTCGAAATGATAAACAATTTCGAGCAAGTTTTCTCGTTTTAACGGAGGAGTTGCTTCTTATGAGGTACACAGTATGAGTATATACCTCACTTTTTTGTAAAATGTCCGTCACTCAAATTGTGGAGAGAGAAGGACATTTGTATTATTAACAAATTATTTTCAAGGATCAAGAACGAAATACATTTAATTAATTAAAATTAAAAGCAATTCATCTCTAGAATTCTTGTTGAAATGTGTAATAGCATATTAGTGTTCATTTTTGCTGGAATTTGTAATAGAGTAACTGTATTCATCAGGAGATTCAGCATTATTGCCTATCTTTTTTCCATCAATATGCATATCGGAATAATTGGTATCCTCATTATTTTTTACATTTTCTTTCTGTTTCTTGGCTTCTTCTTTCTGAAGTTGGCGTTTGACAAGGTTGAAGTAGAAGCCTTGTGCGGCAACAAGTGATTCGTGGTTGCCTTGTTCCTTGATCTCACCAGCATCGAAGACATAGATAACATTAGCATTCCTGATGGTTGACAATCTGTGTGCAACAATGATACCGGTGCGTGTCTCGAGAATCTTGTCGAGTGCTGCTTGAACTTTCTTCTCCGACTCACTGTCAAGAGCAGATGTTGCTTCATCACAGATCAAGATTGTTGGATCTTTGATGACAGCACGTGCGATAGCAATTCTCTGCTTCTGACCACCTGAAAGTGTGCTGCCACGGTCTCCAACAAGTTGCTGAAGTTGTTTCTCGAACTTAAGTGTGAACTTCTTTGCATTTGCTGTCTCGAGTGCTGCCCAGACTTCTTCGTCTGTCTTGTTCTTCTCAACACCGTACATGACGTTCATCTTGACTGTCTCCTGGAACAAGATTGGATCTTGTGAAACTAATGCCATCTTCCTGTGAAGCCAGTGTGGATCTAAGTCTTTGATGTCGTGGCCATCGATAGTGATCCTTCCTTCAGTGACATCGTAGTATCTCTGGATCAATTGGACACATGTTGACTTGCCACTTCCTGAGTGTCCGACGAGTGCAACACTCTGACCTGGTTTGATCTCGAATGAGACATTCTTGAGTGCCATGACTTTTCTTGTTGGATAGCAGAATGAGACATTCTCGAACTTGATGTGACCGATGAATGGTTCATATGTCTCACCACCATCGAAATTCAACGATGGTTGATAAGCCAACAACTGCATAATTCTTGCACCAGCATGGATAGCTCTCTGTTCAGCGTTGATACCGTTCATAAGGAGAATTAAACCGAATGAGCCGAACATTGTGAAACCGAAGCAAGAGAATAATTGACCAGCTCCGAATTTGGCATTTTCGCCATTGTCAACCATTGTTGCACCATAGTACAGGTCGCCCAAAACAACAGCCCACATTAAAGCTAAGACAATTGTAAACATAAATGTGAGCAAAACAATGATAATACGATCGTGATTTGCACCAAGTTCTGTTTGTTCGTTGAATCTTCTTTCATCTTCTTCTTCACGGTTGTAGCCTCTAACTGTTCTAACAGCAGCTATTGTTTCTTCGGCAATTGTCATAGATCTTGCCACATTTCTGAATCTGGCTTGACCATGTCTAGCGATATGTGGATGGAATATGACAACAATAATTGCAACAACAGGGAAAAGGGCTAAAGCAATTAAGGCAAGTTTCCAATTATAAATGAAAACCAAAATTGTACCAATAACAAACTGGCCACCTTGCTGGAACTGAAGACCTTTCTGTGCACCAAAGCATTCTTGGAGAACTGCTGAGTCTTCACCAAGAATTGTAAGCAAGGCACCGATAGGATGTGTATCGTAGAAAGCGACATCATATTTCATGATATTTGTAAAGATTTCATCACGGATTCTGATAGAAACGTGAGAACCTGCACGAATCCACATGAATGAAGTTAAACCACGGCAGATACCTGTAACAACAGCAACTGCCGACATAATTGCAAGTAATATACCAATCTTATGAAGTGGATTATTAGATGTTCCGAGGGAATAATCACGCATTTCATTCAAAATGTAACCAAAGATTAAGTAGTTAAAAATAGGAGTAGCACCAGAGATGATAGCTGGAATAGTTCCCAAGTAAGCCCAAGGATCAGAGAAAAGTACACCGTAGATTTTTCCTCTGGCTGCATTGTTTTCTTCCCTTGAGAACTTCTGTTGGATGATAAAGGATGAAGCACTCCTAGAGTCGCTCGAAGAGTATTCACTGGAAGCTTGTGGATCCATTATACAATAATAAAAATGAACCTATCAAATTATGGTTTTCGAAATTGAAAGGAGAAAAAGCCATACCTTTGAATACTCACTCTCAAAAAATTGAATGAACCAAGTATATAAAAAAATTGATCGAAGATTTTTAGTGGTTATTCGTGCTAATAACTGTACCCTCATCCAAAATAATGAGCGATATCAAGTAAAATTTTGATGCCTAACCTCACTTTCGCTCAGAATTTGTTGAGAGAAAATAAAATTTTTCTTCACAAAAAAATTGAATTAATCGTATCATTGTGGAGAAAATTGAGAGTAGTAAAGCATTCAAAGTTACACAGACCATTAATCATTAGTGATGTCTTCCAAAGGCGTGCTCGATGAAAAAGTAGAAGTTGAAGGTGGCGAGTACTTCAGGATCATGAAGTGCTTCGATCGCAGATGGGTATTTGGTATTGCGTTGTTTTTTCTCATTCTGCACAGGTGCAATGCCAATGGTCATGAACGTTTTAATGGGAAATATGGCTACAATCATGACTACTTCTGACAACTTCATAGATGCTGTTGTTAAATTAATTATCAAAATGGTTATTTATATTTGCTGCTTCATTGTTGTTTTCTTGATCCAACACTTTATTGCAGGCTATTCTAATCCATTTTTTATTTCCGATATCAGAAAGCACTTATATAAGAAACTCATGGAATTAGATATTTCATTTTTCGATCAGAACGAAACAGGTATGTTACTTTCGAGATTTACCAGTGATTGTGCTACATTGAACGAAATTTACATCACAAAGTTTGTACAGGCCTTCCAGAACTGCGTACAGGCTGTTGCAGGTATCATTTTGAGCTTTGTCCTCTCATGGCGCGTCACGCTTGCAGTATTCATCGCATATCCATTGTGTGGCTTCGTTTATTGGTTCGGCCAAACAAAGATTACAAAACTGTGGAGAGATTATAACCAAAGTACAGCTAATGCAGGCACAAAAGCAGAGCAGGTTATCAATGCTTTCAGAACTGTTAAGTCCTTCGATAACGAAATGTACGAAGCTGACCTTTACAGAGAATCATTAGGAACAATTCAGAAAGTTTTCAACAGAGCATCTATCGTTCAAGGCATTGAAGATGGTACAATTCATATTATCATCCATGCTATGATTGTTTCATTCTTGTACTTCTCATGCTGGATTATTATCAGAAGACCAAACTGGGGAATGGAAAACGGTGACCTTATGTCTCTCATGATGTCACTTATCTTCTCCGCTTTAGGTATCTCTGCAACACTTGCACTTGTTGAAGATTTCGATCGTGCCCAAGTTTCTGCAGCCAAAATCTTAAAGATTCTTGAGGAACCAGTTGAAATCAATCAGCGTGAAGGCCAAGAACCAAATGAACCAGTCAAGGGTAAAGTCGAGTTCAAGAATGTTTGCTTCAAGTACAAAGGAAGAGCAGAATATGCAGTCAAAGATCTCAACTTCACCGTCAATCCAGGTGAAACAGTTGCACTTATTGGTGAGTCTGGCTGTGGCAAGTCAACAACACTTCAGTTGCTTCAGCGTTTCTACGAGATCGAGAGTGGTGAGATTCTTGTTGATGGTGTCGACATCAGGAAGTGGTCACCAAAGTACTTGCGCAAGAACATCTCAATTGTTCCACAAGGTCCTGTCTTGTTCACAATGTCAATCAAAGACAACATCCGATATGCAGTTCCAGATGCAAGTGACAAAGACATTGCAGATGCTGCACAGACGGGAAATGCACATCCATTCATCATGACATTCCCAGAGAACTACAACACACAAGTTGAACCATCATCACTCTCCGGTGGTCAGAAGCAACGTATCTGCATCTCACGTGCAATCCTTGTTGGTGCACCAATCTTACTTCTTGATGAAGCCACAGCAGCACTCGACACAGAGTCCGAGAAACTTGTCCAACAGTCACTTGAAGTTGCACGTAAAGGCAAGACAGCAATTGTTGTTGCACATCGTCTTGCGACCGTCATCAACGCGGACCGCATTCTTGTTTTCAAAGAAGGTCACATTGTCGAAGAAGGCAAGCATGATGAACTCATGGCCAAGAACGGCATTTATGCAGATCTTGTTCGTTTCCAACTTCAATAAATTATTTGAATAAACTTTTTTATAAAATCTATATTATTTTGACAAACTATTTTTCGATTAAATGAAAATGAAATATCTTATCTAATCCAAAATTCTAATGAAAAAATTGTAAGAAATTTAAAAAACAAAAACTAATTTAATAGAAAAATAGACTTTATAAACTTTATATGAAAAACAATTACTTCTTATCTTTTGAGCTGTATGAGTATGAATAACTATACTCTTCATCATCCTTCTTCTTTGATGCTGTTTCAGAATAGCTGTATTCTTCAGGATCTCCTTCTTTCTCCTTCTTTTCTTCTGGTTTCTTTTCTTCATCTTCTTTCTTTGCTTCTTCAGCAATTTCAGAAGTGGAGTTATTGCCACTTGACTCTTTATTGTCATTGTTGTTTGCTTTGGCTTCTTCTGCTTCTTTCTGTTTCTTGGCTTCTTCTTTCTGAAGTTGGCGTTTGACAAGGTTGAAGTAGAAGCCTTGTGCGGCAACAAGTGATTCGTGGTTGCCTTGTTCCTTGATCTCACCAGCATCGAAGACATAGATAACATTAGCATTCCTGATGGTTGACAATCTGTGTGCAACAATGATACCGGTGCGTGTCTCGAGAATCTTGTCGAGTGCTGCTTGAACTTTCTTCTCCGACTCACTGTCAAGAGCAGATGTTGCTTCATCACAGATCAAGATTGTTGGATCTTTGATGACAGCACGTGCGATAGCAATTCTCTGCTTCTGACCACCTGAAAGTGTGCTGCCACGGTCTCCAACAAGTTGCTGAAGTTGTTTCTCGAACTTAAGTGTGAACTTCTTTGCATTTGCTGTCTCGAGTGCTGCCCAGACTTCTTCGTCTGTCTTGTTCTTCTCAACACCGTACATGACGTTCATCTTGACTGTCTCCTGGAACAAGATTGGATCTTGTGAAACTAATGCCATCTTCCTGTGAAGCCAGTGTGGATCTAAGTCTTTGATGTCGTGGCCATCGATAGTGATCCTTCCTTCAGTGACATCGTAGTATCTCTGGATCAATTGGACACATGTTGACTTGCCACTTCCTGAGTGTCCGACGAGTGCAACACTCTGACCTGGTTTGATCTCGAATGAGACATTCTTGAGTGCCATGACTTTTCTTGTTGGATAGCAGAATGAGACATTCTCGAACTTGATGTGACCGATGAATGGTTCATATGTCTCACCACCATCGAAATTCAACGATGGTTGATAAGCCAACAACTGCATAATTCTTGCACCAGCATGGATAGCTCTCTGTTCAGCGTTGATACCGTTCATAAGGAGAATTAAACCGAATGAGCCGAACATTGTGAAACCGAAGCAAGAGAATAATTGACCAGCTCCGAATTTGGCATTTTCGCCATTGTCAACCATTGTTGCACCATAGTACAGGTCGCCCAAAACAACAGCCCACATTAAAGCTAAGACGATTGTAAACATAAATGTGAGCAAAACAATGATAATACGATCGTGATTTGCACCAAGTTCTGTTTGTTCGTTGAATCTTCTTTCATCTTCTTCTTCACGGTTGTAGCCTCTAACTGTTCTAACAGCAGCTATTGTTTCTTCGGCAATTGTCATAGATCTTGCCACATTTCTGAATCTGGCTTGACCATGTCTAGCGATATGTGGATGGAATATGACAACAATAATTGCAACAACAGGGAAAAGGGCTAAAGCAATTAAGGCAAGTTTCCAATTATAAATGAAAACCAAAATTGTACCAATAACAAACTGGCCACCTTGCTGGAACTGAAGACCTTTCTGTGCACCAAAGCATTCTTGGAGAACTGCTGAGTCTTCACCAAGAATTGTAAGCAAGGCACCGATAGGATGTGTATCGTAGAAAGCGACATCATATTTCATGATATTTGTAAAGATTTCATCACGGATTCTGATAGAAACGTGAGAACCTGCACGAATCCACATGAATGAAGTTAAACCACGGCAGATACCTGTAACAACAGCAACTGCTGACATAATTGCAAGTAATATACCAATCTTATGAAGTGGATTATTAGATGTTCCGAGGGAATAATCACGCATTTCATTCAAAATGTAACCAAAGATTAAGTAGTTAAAAATAGGAGTAGCACCAGAGATGATAGCTGGAATAGTTCCCAAGTAAGCCCAAGGATCAGAGAAAAGTACACCGTAGATTTTTCCTCTGGCTGCATTGTTTTCTTCCCTTGAGAACTTCTGTTGGATGATAAAGGATGAAGCACTCCTAGAGTCGCTCGAAGAGTATTCACTGGAAGCTTGTGGATCCATTATACAATAATAAAAATGAACCTATCAAATTATGGTTTTCGAAATTGAAAGGAGAAAAAGCCATACCTTTGAATATTCACTCTCAAAAAATTGAATGAACCAAGTATATAAAAAAATTGATCGAAGATTTTTAGTGGTTATTCGTGCTAATAACTGTACCCTCATCCAAAATAATGAGCGATATCAAGTAAAATTTTGATGCCTAACCTCACTTTCGCTCAGAATTTGTTGAGAGAAAATAAAATTTTTCTTCACAAAAAAATTGAATTAATCGTATCATTGTGGAGAAAATTGAGAGTAGTAAAGCATTCAAAGTTACACAGACCATTAATCATTAGTGATGTCTTCCAAAGGCGTGCTCGATGAAAAAGTAGAAGTTGAAGGTGGCGAGTACTTCAGGATCATGAAGTGCTTCGATCGCAGATGGGTATTTGGTATTGCGTTGTTTTTCTCATTCTGCACAGGTGCAATGCCAATGGTCATGAACGTTTTAATGGGAAATATGGCTACAATCATGACTACTTCTGACAACTTCATAGATGCTGTTGTTAAATTAATTATCAAAATGGTTATTTATATTTGCTGCTTCATTGTTGTTTTCTTGATCCAACACTTTATTGCAGGCTATTCTAATCCATTTTTTATTTCCGATATCAGAAAGCACTTATATAAGAAACTCATGGAATTAGATATTTCATTTTTCGATCAGAACGAAACAGGTATGTTACTTTCGAGATTTACCAGTGATTGTGCTACATTGAACGAAATTTACATCACAAAGTTTGTACAGGCCTTCCAGAACTGCGTACAGGCTGTTGCAGGTATCATTTTGAGCTTTGTCCTCTCATGGCGCGTCACGCTTGCAGTATTCATCGCATATCCATTGTGTGGCTTCGTTTATTGGTTCGGCCAAACAAAGATTACAAAACTGTGGAGAGATTATAACCAAAGTACAGCTAATGCAGGCACAAAAGCAGAGCAGGTTATCAATGCTTTCAGAACTGTTAAGTCCTTCGATAACGAAATGTACGAAGCTGACCTTTACAGAGAATCATTAGGAACAATTCAGAAAGTTTTCAACAGAGCATCTATCGTTCAAGGCATTGAAGATGGTACAATTCATATTATCATCCATGCTATGATTGTTTCATTCTTGTACTTCTCATGCTGGATTATTATCAGAAGACCAAACTGGGGAATGGAAAACGGTGACCTTATGTCTCTCATGATGTCACTTATCTTCTCCGCTTTAGGTATCTCTGCAACACTTGCACTTGTTGAAGATTTCGATCGTGCCCAAGTTTCTGCAGCCAAAATCTTAAAGATTCTTGAGGAACCAGTTGAAATCAATCAGCGTGAAGGCCAAGAACCAAATGAACCGGTCAAGGGTAAAGTCGAGTTCAAGAACGTTTGCTTCAAGTACAAAGGAAGAGCAGAATATGCAGTCAAAGATCTCAACTTCACCATCAATCCAGGTGAAACAGTTGCACTTATTGGTGAGTCTGGCTGTGGCAAGTCAACAACACTTCAGTTGCTTCAGCGTTTCTACGAGATCGAGAGTGGTGAGATTCTTGTTGATGGTGTCGACATCAGGAAGTGGTCACCAAAGTACTTGCGCAAGAACATCTCAATTGTTCCACAAGGTCCTGTCTTGTTCACAATGTCAATCAAAGACAACATCCGATATGCAGTTCCAGATGCAAGTGACAAAGACATTGCAGATGCTGCACAGACGGGAAATGCACATCCATTCATCATGACATTCCCAAAGAACTACAACACACAAGTTGAACCATCATCACTCTCCGGTGGTCAGAAGCAACGTATCTGCATCTCACGTGCAATCCTTGTTGGTGCACCAATCTTACTTCTTGATGAAGCCACAGCAGCACTCGACACAGAGTCCGAGAAACTTGTCCAACAGTCACTTGAAGTTGCACGTAAAGGCAAGACAGCAATTGTTGTTGCACATCGTCTTGCGACCGTCATCAACGCGGACCGCATTTTTGTTTTCAAAGAAGGTCACATTGTCGAAGAAGGCAAGCATGATGAACTCATGGCCAAGAACGGCATTTATGCAGATCTTGTTCGTTTCCAACTTCAATAAATTATTTGAATAAACTGTCTATAGATATAATTATGATAATTAAATAGACTTTTTTCTCTTTTCCTGAACCACTCTCAAAAATCATTATATCTTTATCTTAATAGGTATTTGCGTCAGGTAATTATTTATAATAACTTTTTATCATAGAAAACCATGATATAAAGCTTAAGTGCCATAAAATTGAGAGAATATCAGTAAGTACAGTGCTCAATTAATCATTAAATTAAAATTTTTATTGATAATCAAGTTTGTCATCAATTTCTGCAGCAATAGTCTTCTCCTTGTAACAGAATCCGTACCATAGTGAGTAACCTAAGAGGAGAACTTGGATAAAGATTGCAACAAGAATCGTAATGGAATAAGCTGTTTTATGCTGATTATAGTTTGTTTTCAAAGTTTCGTAACGTGTTTTGGTTTCGTTCGTTGCATTTTCATATCCGCAGTTCTTTAAATCAGCTTCATTATAAGGATTTTTGAATCCGCTACACTGACTTTCATTTTCAATCTTTTTAATCTTTGAATCACCTTTGTATTCATCGAAGAACTTTTGGCATTCATCAAGGAACTTATTTGAATTAACAATTGCAAATATTATAACAATCACTTCGACAATTACAACAACAAGGTAAAATACTGCATAAACCACACGGAAACATTTTGAGGATCCAAAGCAGATAAGGAAGAAACCTACAATGCAACCAATGATTACAAACGTCAGTATGACAAAGAGTCAAGCTGATGTCTTTGAAAATGATTTGATATCATCAATGGAAATTGTTTTCAATTCATGTCTGAAAGCGAAGATGAGGCCACCGACTGTAATAAGGACAAGCAGGTTGATTATGCCTATAATTGATCTAGCCATGCATGAACAGCAAGTCATCTTTAAAAATGAAATGAATTGTTGAAATTCAGAAATCTTTGAATTTTATTTTCTATTTTCCTTTTGAATAATTATATCAACTATACATTTTAAAATAATTTTAGTAAAAAAAGAAATGCACAGTAAATTGATTTTCTCACAAAAAACTCAAATTGAAAGTTTTGATAGTTAATCGGACTCATTAGGATGAATATTTTAATACGCATAATAAAATAAAGTGAATAATTACAATTGTAAATTTTCCGGTGCAATCTTTGAATACTTTACACCAACACTCAAAAATTGTGAGCTTTATTAACCAGCAATTTTTTTGACACGCATCATTTTACGTATATTTTTATAAGGAATTCTTTTTGACATCACATTAACATTCTATAACACACCAATATACGTATATATTTGATTATAATTGAATCCAAATTAAATTTGAAATTTCAAATTGAACATAAAATTAATATTAGACTATGAATTAAATTTATACGCATTGCAAAATTAAATCACAAATGCATGAATGAATCATTTTCAAATTTTTTATGATTTAATTCAAAATTTTGTTGATATAATATATTTTTATAAAAATTTATTTATTTATTTTAAATCGCAAGCAAACATACTTGACATGATACTTATGTATATTCTTTAAACAGTTTTTTTAGCTGATTTTATTCCTAAATTGATTAATATATAGAATTTCAGCTTAATTAATTTTGAAATTACATAAAAGATCTATACCTTAGCATGATACCTACTATTTGATGTACAAAACTCAACTGAAGATCATATCATAAATAAAAAGAAATCTTGATCCTTGGATAAGAGGAAATACCAGTAAAAAGACATATATGTCAAGTGAAAGGTACATTCACTAGGCGATAACAGTAAAATGGGATGAAAATAGGATAAATAGCATCCCTATATAGTGCCTAACAATATTTATACGGGCCAAAAAAAATTTGGCTAGAGATTTGGCGAGTTATAAAACTTAGAAAATTGAGAGGGATTTTTATTTTTGAATTTTTTTTGGAAAGTTAAAATTGCGATTAAAAATCGATTTCCAGGAGAACTAAGCATCTCATCATATATTTAAATCGATAAAAATATTAAATAATAGTTGAATAGTATAACAACGTGAAATTATGGCTGAATCTACAGAAAAAATGAACATATTTGACATTTTTGAAAATTCATACGTTAGATGGTGACAGACTCATAAACTATACTTTAGCTAAGATTGATATATGGTTTCAACAACACATGGTTAAAATCGTAAAAATATTTTAGATTTCAAAAAGATACATATGGTAATATAATGGAACAAAGTCAACAAATAGCATGTTAAATATGTTATAATTAACTTTTTATTAGATCCAATAGTAGATATCGAATGGTTTCCAGCTTTATGGTTAAATATTTTCTTTTCGAGCTTCTCTTTAACTGTTGTATTAAGGTTGTAAATTTTTGATGCTAGAAACTATGGAATCTTCTTTGCTGCTGCATTTTTCTTGAGAGTTCTTGCAATTTTGAATAGATCTGCGCATTGTATGAAATGGAGGCTTTAAAATATCTTGAAAACAGAATAGGACTGCTTTTCCAAAGGAATGCTTACTTGTAAATCAGAGAGTTTCAAAATTGAGAGCAAGATTATCATCATAACTTTCGATTTTGCTGCGAAAAAGGAAGACAAGTAATTAACAAATCATTTACTGTTGTTCATCAAAAGAAGAAAACTTTGATAACAACTAATGATGATAAAATCAAGCTATCTTTTAATATTTTAAATTGATAAGACATTCAAAATATTTGAATGGTTTAAAATATTTTCTTTTAATTTCTATAAGATATTATCATGATTATATAATAAAATTTAAATTTTTATTCAAAAAGGCAATATTTCAAACTTTTAATTTCAAAAATCTTAATTCTGCAATAAGTGTATTTAATTGTAGCAAATTTAATGATCCTTCGTCATGCTTAGCAATTTGGAACTCATAAATTAATGATTTCTTCAAGTAAAATTCTGCATTATTTCAAAAGTCAATAATTCTCTAGTAACTTTTCTTCAAACCCTAACCATTATATTATATGTATAATGGAGAATAATTGCAAAGAAAGATAGCCGAATTTACTGGTAGTTCTTGTGATGCGAAATAATTGCAAATTAACACCTAGTTTTAACAGCATCAATCTCTTTTTGCTCTCATTTAAATGCATTCGCACACTTTAATTTTGAAATATAAGAGTTTTGGAAATTATCAAATTTATCTGCTCAAATACTATAGATCTTCATAAGTGTTAATAGAATCATTAGCCTTACATATAGTGTTTAATATAATGATGCACATTATACTGGGATTCATTCCTTATTCATCTAGTTATTATAAGATTTACAACCCCATGAAAATTTAAAATTTTGTCAAAAATAGTGAATGTACCTTTGTCAAGTGTAGTGATAATAAATCTAATTTTGCTGAATTATTTTTTTCATTTTGAATAATTGTCAAAAAAAAATCGAGTAATACAAAGAAAACATGTAAGGATAGTAGTATTTAATACAAACAATCAATAAAATCTATAATATGAACAATTTTTCTTACAATGAAGGTTCAACGTGTGCTTCACTAGCAGATGCATCATCGCTCTTTTCTTCCTTTTGATCTTGATCGTTTTTTGTAAGATGATTCTTTATTGTTGTGGTCAATAAATAACCAAGAAAAAGAAATAGAAAACAGCCTAAAAGAGAGAAGAGGACTTCACCTAAACCAGATAGGACATGATGATTTTCAAGGCTAGAAAGCGAGTATGAAGTGTATCCAGAGAATGTTGTTAAAGATCCGCAAAAACCGACAGAAAATAATGTCATTAAGTATTTTTGCCATTGCTCCTTTGTTTCAATTGGAATTACTAATCCAGCAAAGAAGCATCCAACGTAATTTGCAATTAATGTTGCAAGATCGAAGTATTCATGATATGTTTTTTTAATTCCTACAAATATTCCATATCGAAGAAGTGTTCCAACAACACCTCCAGCTGCCATTAAGATGACTATCATCGTAAGAGTTAAGCTTTACAAAAGACGATCGGAATTCATTTATTTGAGTCTAAAATAATCGATTTTTCTCTTATTCATTTTTTTTTTCAAAGAAATATACAAAAATAGAGTATTCTCTAGCATATGATTCATACACGCCAATATTCATTGAATTTTTGAAAATTTCCTTCGACTTAAGCATTATATGACTAAAAATCTCTATATCTCAGATTTATATTTAAAATCATATGGTATCGTGTATAAAAACTATATTATAAGAAGGGTGACAGATCACTGTAATGGAATTAATCTAATATTCCTCTAAATTTTTATATAGAATACCACATGAATGATAAAGCAGCTAAGTATAAAAATTAAAGTTATTAGGCATAGATAAATACAAACAATTTATTATAAAAACATAATTAATTAGTTGGCCTTGAATCTTGTACTGAGCTTACCGCACTGTAATGGCCATCAGGATAAACTAGTTCTGAAGATGAATCAAGCTTTTTACAATATGGTTCTGGTTTAATAGAAGGTAAAACAAATTTGGAGAAATTAGTTCGCATTGGCCGGACAAACTCCTCATTTACTGCAATTTGAGGTTTTCGTACGTTATTTTGATTATATCTTCGTGGAGATTTTTGAATATAATCTCTCAAACTAAATAATTGAGGATTATATACTGATTGATAATTTTCATTGCGGTTTTCTATAAGTGTTCTTGGTTCAGGACGCTTAAATGATTTGAATTGGTTCAATAAAAAATCTGTTTGTTCTTGAATAGAAATTGATGAAGTTTGCATATCTAGTAACCTTCGTTTAGACTCTATTTCTTGTCTGAGCTGATTAGATAGCATTGATTGTTGGATTTTTTTGGTCTCGAGAAAATTTTGATAATTGCTTTGTATTTCATTTGAAGGAGGTGGACTATAATTATTCGTTTTGTCTATTTCTGCAGGAGGATCCTCAAAAGTCTCGACACGGCGGTGGGAACGGCGAGGACTACGTAAGCAAAACATTGTCAATTTTTATTAACGGACAATAGAAAATTTTGATTCAGAATTATTTTCTAAAGTTTACATTTTGCCGAAAGAATTCTGAATATGAATGAGAATTACTGCATATATTTAGCTTTTGAAGTTTAAAATAGTTAACCTAAGAAACGCAAACGAAACAATATCAAGAAAATCATTAAATTATAACTGAATTTTTAAAATTATTGAATGTGTAAGATTTAATAATAGAAATAAATATAAAATATGCATCGGATTCATTTCAATAACAATATCATGCTCCACTAATGCTAAAGCTGTATTAAGATGTTTAAAAGTTCAATATTATCATTTTCTGCTGCATAAATGGGAGCCGACTTTCCACATTTGTCCTTAGCATTAATATCAATACCTGAAAGAGAACAAAGATATTTGACGGCATCAATGTTCTTAATAAGAACTGCATAGTGAAGTGGGGACTTATCATAGCAATCTTTTGCATTAATATCAATATCGGGAATAGAACAAAGATATTTGACGACTTCAACATTGTCATTTAGGGCAGCATAATGAAGAACAGTTGTTTGAAATTTATCAACTGAATTGATGCTAACTTTATTAAGTGAATAAAGATATTTTATAACTTCAACATCTTTATTTAATGCTGCATAATGAAGAATTGTTTTTCCTTCATATTCAGTTTCAAAGTCGTTTGATTTGGAATAAATATACTTAATTGCTTCAACACTGTTGCGTGCGCAAATATTTGATAGCAAATTAAAATGTTTAATCAGTTTAAAGTCATCATTTATAAGAGCATATTCAGAAATACTATACGTTAGTCCCTTGGATATTGCAAATTTAATTGTATCGATATCTCCTTCTTCACATGCTTTTGACAATACTTGATAATTTCCCATGACAACATCATTTTTTCTATATGGATTGTATAAATATTGTTGAAATAAAAACTTTATATTTTTACCATTATGTGCCTTTTGATTTTTAATATATGATACTGCATCATTTATTGCACTATTATGAATGAGTTTTGAAAGGAATTCTAAAACATTAAATGCCACTTCTTCATTTTCAAATTTTCCTATTTTAGCATGCTGCGATATTGAAATTACTTCTGAGCTATTAAATTTCTTGCTGATAATTGTAAATGCCGATACAAACTGTCTTGTTGAAAAATTACAAAAATCAAAAATATTGCAGAGTTCAGTTGCTGTTCTCATTTCATAAAAGTCATTATTATCATACCAATTTTCAAGCTCCTTTGCATAAACTTCATAATCAATAGAACTCATTTGATTGGTAATAATTTTATAAAACGAAGTCAAAATTTTCAATGAAAAAAAAATCAAAGGTAAATTTATTTATTTATCTAATTCGTATTAATCGAAATTAAATTCGTTAAAAATAATTAACAAATGTATTTCTTCAAATTTTGATATTCAATTGGTCCAACATTTCATTTTCAGCTGCATATTGAATTGCAGTTTTTCCTTTTTTATCCCATAACCTCGTATTTATATTTGGAAGAGAATAAAGGTATTTAAAAACTTCAATGTTTTTTATATGTGCTGCATAATGAAGTGGTGTTTTATTATTATTATCTAATGCATTGATGTCAAATTTTTGAAGAGAAACCAAATATTTAATTACTTCGACATTAGTGTTTAATGCTGCATAATGAAGTGCGGATGCACAAAATTCATCTATTTTACCAAAGTCCGTTGTTTTGGAATTACCAAGTAATTTAATTACTTCAACATTAGGATTTAATGCTGCATAAAGAAGCCTTTTATCATTAAATGGATCATAAATGTTATTTATTGAAACAGATCTAGTACAAGTATAATTATCTTTTTTATTGATAATCTGAAATGAACTGCCTCTGAATGATCTCTTACTCGATCGATCTTGGTATGCCAAATTTACTTGATTGGAAACACATCTGATTGATTCAGGACTGTTAGTTGCCCAAAAATTTTGGCATAATGAAATATATTTGAAAACTTTAAAATTGTTAAATTCAATTGCACGTTCAAGTATTGAACGTATATCTACTGTTGTATGCAAATAGCCGTTATTGTATGCAAATTTAATTGAGTCAATATCATCTTCTTCACATGCTTTTACAATAATCATGAAAATTTCTTCAAAGTTAATCTCATCCAGTTTGCATTTTAATAAGTATTTTATGTTCTTGCCCGTTTTAGGTTTTTGATTCTTTAAGGAAATCGCTGCATCAGATATAACTTTTGTATTTAAAATTTTTGAAATGAAATCTAAAGCTTCAAAAGCATCTTCAAAGCTTTCAAATTGAGTTACTTTAACATGTTGTGAAATGATTGAGACTTCAGAATACTTAAATTTCTTGCTGATAATTGTAAATGCTTCAATAAATTGACTTGAAGAAAAACTGCATAAATCGAAGATATTACAAAGTTCTGATACTGTTCTATTCTCGTAAAATTCATCGCTATTATACCATTTTTCAATTTCTTTGGCATAAGATTCGTAATCTGGTGCGGCCATGTGAAAGTGCGGTGGTTGTCTTAGATTTTGTAAACCTTTCAATTAACTTTCAATAAGATTTCGAAAATTCATGTTCGAGATATAAATTTTATTGTTGAAAAATTACAAAAGTCAAAGATATTACTAAGTTCTTTTGCTGTTTTCATATCATAAAACTCTTCATCATCATAGGATCTATCAAAATCCTTTGCAAATACCTCATAATTAACAGAGCTAATGAAAAAGTGTTCTCGCAAAATGTTCATTTATATCTTTCAAACTTTTTTGAAATTTGAAAGTCAAAATTTGATAAACTATTAAACCAAGTGTTGATAATAGTGATTAAGACTCTTATAAACTATACAATGATATTTGAATTCAATAATAATATCAGAAGAAATCATTGAGGAAAATTGAGATTTCCAACAAAAGATTAGTTGGTTTAGTTGTTTTTAATATATTTACATTGCAATTAATTAATGTAAATAAAAAAATTTCGAAATAAAATTAAATTTTCAAAAATAAATATAATATAACAGTTTAGTATATGTATTTATGCAATATAGCATCGATATCCGCTTTGTTTCTCTGATTCCTTGATACAAATATCACCTTCGTCGTTTAATATTGAAAATTCTTTTTCTTTTTCGTTGTAAACGAAAGGAGGATCTTCGTATGGTTTCTTTTGTTCGGATTGTTTGATCAATTCCTCAAGGTTGCTGATGTATTTCCTTGTTCTCGCTTCGAAATCTTGTTTTTTATCTTTTGGCGTTTTGCTGTTCAAAACTCTCTCCAACATTGCAACAGATCTATCTCGAAGGGATTGGGAGTTTTCTTTGATCGATTTCCATAGTTCGAAACGTTTAATTCCAGGTAATGCGACTGATTTCAAGTTTTCGAGGCGATTCTTATATTCTTTAAGGTCCAGTCTCTCGAATTCATGTTCATCGAACCAATTTCTGATTTTGGCAATTTCTTCTTTGATATGTGGAAAATCTTTTGGATTAAAGCTTTCTTTGTACTCTTGTTCAATGCCACGCTCGACCTTGAACAAAAATCCTTCCAATTCATTACGAGTTTCATCAACAGAGTTCTCATAATCGTCTTTAGAACTAAATTCGTTTTCAATTTGGGAAAATCTGGCGATTTCTGCATCAGATAAGATGGATTGGTATTGTACATTAATGTCCACCTTGACTTCACCATTAGGATTAGTTTTAGGATCTGAATTTTGTTTATAAAATGCTTCAATAACTTCAAACGTGGAACTTTGGGACATCCTTACACGTATAAAGAGTTCATTTGATTCTGGTGGTGGCTTGATAGTAACACTGCAGATTTCTTCATTGTTTGATATAAATTTGATTTTTGTTTCTTTATTTATATTCAAAGGAACTAATTTAGTGGAAGGAATCTGTGAGAATTGCTTATAGATCTCACAAAACTTATTTCCTTCTTTGTCTGTCCAGTTTGCAGTAACATTATGAGGAGTTACATCTGTAACTGTCATTGGAACTTGCATATTTGGATTAAGAATTGCAGAAATGTATCCTGCACCGATTGCAAAGCATTCATCTATGTTAACAGCTTGTTCTGGCTCTTTATTAAGAATTTTCTGAATTTCAGCTTTGACAATTGGAACTCTGGAGCATCCACCGAGCAACTCACATCCTTTAAGATCTTCTTTCTTAAGATTTGATGACTCTAAAGCTTTCTGAATCGGATTTTCTAATCTTGGCAACAAATCTTGGATTTGAGCTTCGAATTCTTCTCTTTTAACGATAAATCTTACATCTGTGTCTCCTTTTATTCCGATTACTTCGAATTGTATTGAAGTATTCACTGAAAGGTTCTTTTTGAGCTTTTCTACGGATTCTGTGAATCTGTGTAGCATCCTTTTATTCTCGCGAGGATCGATCTTGTATTTCTTCTTTGTTTCTTCGATTAAATAATTTAATAATTTTTCTGTAAAGTTTGAACCGCCAAAATGCTCATCGTATGCGAAACTACTAATCCTGACATTGTCTTCTTTAAGATATGCTATGGCCACGTTCATTGATGAGTCTCCAATATCAATAAAAGCAATTGGTATTGGATTTTCATTTGATTTCGGTAATTTTGAGCGATGATCCATTGCATAACCCACTGCTGCTGCAGTTGTAGAGTTGATTAGTGTGATTAAGTTAATTTTTGCAATTTTGCATGCATCAATGATTGTTTGTCTATGCGCTTGTGTCCACCATGGGCTAACTGCTATAGAAAATGCAGCGACAGCTTGCTGGGAGGATTGCGTAATTTTCATCAAAGATTTTAGTAAATAAGCAATGATTTGTGCTGGTAGAAATACATGATTATCGTTATTCGATAATTTAATACCAGTGAATCCATCATTTAATTTAACCAATTCAAAATTTACCATTTTTTCGATTGATTTACGTTCTTCTGAATCATATTTTAAGCAAACGAGACGCTTTAGTTGTGTTATTGTTCCTTCTAAGTTTTGCAAGATTTCTTGTTGGGCTAATGTTCCGAACACTCTTCTTTTTTCTGAATAACCTGCCATTGTAGGAATAAGTCGATTGGACGCTTGATCAAGAAGCACAGAAATCGATCGACTTTGTGGAATTCCTACAACACAGTACTTATTACCAAAATCTAATCCTGCTCCTGACCACATTGATAAAAATTTTTTTTTGCATTCAAAAAATATAACAAATTATGGACAAAAATGAGCGAAAGATCTCATCAATAAATTAAATCGTTATTCTTAGATCTATCTGATATGCTGTTTCGTTCAGTTCGATGGCTTGATTTTTTCAAGAATTGCTACGATCATTAGATTCCTTGAATATATATAAAAATGAATATCTTCCTAGATAATAGATAAGGACATGAGAGTGGTTGAAAGCATGAATATTCAGATATACATTCTCTATTGATAATGAATTTGTGGAGAGAAATTTAATGAATGAATAGTAAATAATTACTAACTTTTGATCATGGACAACCTACATAAGAAAGTAAATGTCATTTGAAAGTTCAGTATACATATTTCCAATCAATGGAAATGATTTTGTGAAACTAATCTCATTTTCCACAAAAACTAAGTATTTTTATGAATTAATATGAAAGTTTCACATATCTATCAATATTTATTATCCAAAATTTAGGTTCAAAATTTGAATTAATTTGTAAAGCAAAAAAATTGATGATCGATAAAAATCTCAATTCATTCAAATACGATGAATTGATGAGTAGATATCAGTCTCATGTGGATACATATAATGCATTATATCGGTTAAAAACAAATAACGAAGAAGATTTAAAAGAGATTTTTCACAAAATCAAAACAAATTTGATTGCATTGCATAATTGTTCTCCAACAGACATAATATCAGATATCTCAGCAATGTCAAGATATAACAACCGCTGTATGAAGTCATACATCCAACTTGTTAAATTAATTTATGACGAATACAAGCCAACAGAGAAAATAACAACAGTGTTCCCATTTGATTACCTATTCTATAAAGAGTATGGGATATTTTTTGATAAAGATACAAAAGATTTTTTGGAAGATTTTGAATCTCAAAATTTAATATTGAATATTCATGAAGAAAACACGGTGTATAGAGCAATTATGGATGATGATATAGGATTGCTCATATCATTCACAAATATTGATGATTTTGATAAAAATCAAACATTAAACAATGAATTATATCCAGATACTGAAGAAGAATTTTCATTACTTGAATTATGTTGTTATTATGGATCTGTTAATTGTTTTAAGCTTTTAATATCGAAATTCAAGTCCGAAATTACCGCGCGATGCCTTCGACTTTCTTTTTTGGGTGGAAATCCAGAGATCATTTCTGAATGTTTGAAATATCAAAAACCAGATGAAAAATGTATGGAATTTGCAATTATTTCACGCAATATTGATTTCGTTTCTTTCTTGAAAAATGAATATAACATTGAAATAGATCCATTTTGTTGCAGCGATTGTATTAATCTTCAGGCATTCTTTATTTATTTAGATCAAACTAATGATATCAAAGATTGTTTTGTCTATTCACCGAAATTTCACATGACTTCACTATGTGAATATTTCATTTCACGTGGTGTGGATATAAATGCACAAAATGAAGAAGGAAAAACTGTACTTTATTATGCATCAAGTGAGGAAAGAGGAGAAATGGTTGAATTTCTTATTTCAAAAGGAGCAGATATTAATGCAAAAGATAAAAATGATGAAAATCCACTTCATGGTGCTGCATATATGGACAATATCGATGCAGCAAAGTCTCTTATTTCACATGGTGCAAATATTAATGAAACTGATAATGATGGTGCAACACCTCTAGATCAAGCAAATTATGGATGTTGTGAAGAAATGATAGAATTTCTCAATTCACTTGGGGCATGTTAATATACAGTACATTCTAATCATTCTTTGAGTAAAGATCTTTCTTATATCTGGAATATTTCAAATCTTTCAAAATACAGCATAATGAATGAGGACTCTGCATTAATTTTTCATGGATATCTTTGTGTGAGATTGGGAAATCCAAAATTGAAAATTGAAAAGTTTGAAGGTACTTAGAGGTCAACTCTGAAGCTAATTTTCATGAAATTGTATGAAAAATACTCAATTTTTGAATTAAATTCATCGATGACCATACATAAATAATGTACCCAGATTTTCCTTACTTTTACCACTCCCCATGTAATTTCTGGGGAAAACGATAATTCATTTTTTTTATGGATGAATAGATCGTTTTCCTAGAAAGGACCTCATATCTCTGGCTAAAAAGAGTGTCAGATCCTAAATAGATTATTGATCTAGTGTACAAATCCAATAAAAAGCCTATTTTTTTGGCTTTTTTGGTGCTCATTTTTTCGAAGATCTACATGAATATGGAGAAACCATCGGATTTTTTTGGTTAACCCACATCTTCATGTAGTCTGGACTATCTTTCCTCGAAGGACCTCTTTACGGGTGTAAAAACTCATAAAGTTCTCAAAAGATTCATTCTCGATCTCCATGCTGAAAGAATTTACAATAAAAAAGAGATCTACGCATCAAACTACAGCCATAAATGAACTGAACCCCTAAAGCTCAGCTCTTAGTTTATCAAAAACGTCGAAATCCTTCTCATTGCAATCAAATTTTCTCAATAACTCATAAGAAAAATCGAATTTTGATTAAGCCGATGTTATAGGTATCACAAATACTACAAACTTGAGCAATATCGAAATTGCCAGCAAAAGTTTGAAATTGCATTGCTCATATTTGTTTTGTAAACTAAAAATCTGCTTATATTATTCATTAATTTTTTATATATTATTCATATACTTTAATAAAAACAATACTATTTCACCTTAAAAATGAATTTCATAAGTCAATATTATTTTTTTGAAAATGTATCAATTTTCGATTAAAACAACATGAGAATAAAATTTACGCAAAATTATTTTAAAAAATGGTTTTAAAAATTTACAATTGATTAAGAATAAGATTGCAAGAAGTTTTGAAGTTTAATTTTAAGAAAAAAAATTCGGATATTATTCATGGATCTAAGTAATCTGATATTTGAGTATCGGCACTATGCATAAAACATATATTTATAGTTTTTTTGGAGTTTTATGATTTTAAATATATTCAAATTTGGCAATCCAATAGATTTTTAAAAAATAGGTAAATAAAAATAGATTACATATGCAGCAGATTTAGAACATGAAACAAATCTTATAGTGACCCAAAAAAAAATTCATGATCCAAAAAAGAAAAAAATTGGCTAAATGGGAATCAAACCTTGGCATAATGAATCATTATGTCGGATGTTTACACTACACTACACCGGCAGTTTGAAAAATATCCTTGGTGGTTCTATTTAATAGCTACTCCCAACGATAGGCGGTGTCCCCAGCTTTAGAGAGGTGGTAAAAGTAAGGAAAATCTGGGTAGAAATAAATATAAAACGATCACAATTAATGGAGAAGTGAGAGATGACGATCAAACAGGAAGTTTAACAATAAAATACAAATTGGATGAAAGTTATTTTGACGATTTGTCGTATGTTAGTATTTACAACAACGAAACAAGGCAATTTACAGAGGCAATTAGTTTGGAAAACTTAAGATTTGGAAGTCATTCTATTGAGTTATATGCAATTGATGATGATGAAAAAGTTTCAAATCATCAATATTTGAATTTCAAATATGTTGATAGAAATTTGGCATTGGATAGAATGAGCCGTCATGTGTCAGTCCAGGTCATAGTATTATTTGAAAAATTACTTGGATTATTTTAATATATTTATTATGAATAAAATTGTTGAATTTATTAATTTTTGCAAAGAAATGTATCTGCATTGTATTCCAATAAAATTCGGATGCAATGTGTATTAGCTCTAAAAATGTATAAGTAATTTCTTCCTTTGATACTATGGATTGGTGGATTTCCATCCTTTATTCTATGATTGATAAAATATTCAGCTTATATTAATAAGTCAATAAATAATTTTTTATTTTGTTAAGAAGAGAGTTTTCAATCTCAATAAATATGTCGCAATTTGCAACCTTTTTGAATCATAAACTTAAAATTTTTATGGAAGAGAATTTTTATCGATAATTTTTTGTCTTTCACTCTGATCCATTTCATTTAAAATTATTTCGGAATATGGATATTTTAGTAATCTATCCATATTGTAAGATTCACATTTGAAGTTTTTAAGATGGTTTTTTAATCTTTCCAGAATAATTCTGTGGGATTCATTTTGATAAGGCTTGTAAAATAATATGAGCTGATTAATAATATAATTTATGTCTAATATTTCTATATCATTAATATATTTGAGGAGCATTACATAACATTTTAGATCTGGGGTGAATTGGTTATCAGATCGAAGTTTATCAATCAACTTATTTTTAGCGATTTCTTGAGAAATGTTGAAGCCGCAATTGATAAGAATTTCCAACTGTCGCGAGTTTCTAATGTATTTAATTGGGCTGTTTTCATTGCTAGATAAATCTGATATAAATCCTTTTGTTTTACATAATTTGCTAAGAAAATGCTCTTCTTTAAACCAATCATCAATTTCAAAAATAAACAACCTTAAATCATCTGAAAGATCTTTAAAATCAATGTGATTTTCAAATATGTGATAAATCAGCTGGAAATTAACTTGCCTAGAAGGATCCAGAAATCGTACACCTGGATATCTTTCTAATTCATAAGAACTTTTTCCTAAAACAATTTTATAGAATTCTTTGGATTCCTCCTTAATAATCATGTCGAATATTGCAATTGTAGTTTTTGCCAAAATCTCAGCTGTTGGAGTTGTTGAAGCACTTTTCATCAATAAATATTTAACAACTAATTCTCTTCTCATTTCAACAGCACCTGAAAGTGCATCTTTGCCATCACTTGTCTGAAAATTGACATTCATGCCCTTATCTAATAAATATTTAACAATATCTAGATGTCCTTGGGTAGCTGCTTCAACGAAACAGTTGCATTTTCTGCGGGTAATTTGAAAGTAAGCACCTGCCTCGATAAGAGCTTTAACACATGAAAGTGATCCATATCTTGCTGCAAGAACGAGAGCAGTAATACCATTTTTGTTAGTTGCACCAAGATTTAGACCTTTTTTGATTAGGAAGTTGACCACATCAACCGAACCACTTTTAGCCGCTAACATCAATGAATTTAATTTGTCTTCATCAACACGAAATGGATATCTTTCCGCTAATTGGAATTCTTCATGGTTATCACAACTCATAGAACGTTTATCAACAGTTGCATTTTTAGCCATTTGAGTAAAGTTACGACATTGGTGAGAAATGAATTCGACAATTTCGATGGAACCAGATGCACAAGCATGAAGAACACAATGTTTGCTGAGCGAAAAATCAAAACCTTTTGACCACATATACTTAACGCAATCAAGATTTCCATAATCAATAGCGAATATCATTGGATGTCTTTCAGATTCTTGAGGATCTGGGAATTCTGTGAAACGCCGAAAAATGGAAATTTTGCCACCCGCTGCTGCAAAATGACGAGTATCTATTTTAACATAATGGTTAACTCTTATTTCTTGAACACCAATACTTAAAAGATAATTATAACAATTTTCAGAGCCAAAAAATGCAGCAGCTTGGATCGGATATTTCACATTTCTTAAAAGATATGGATACTTATAATCGTTTGGAGTTTTAAGTTCAATGTCCGGATTTGGATATTTGAAAATTATCGAAGCCAGCTCTTCTACATTATCATCAACAAGAACATTGAAGATTTTATTGGAATCGTCTTGACTAAAGAATTTGATACTAGAATCATTTTGATTGAACATCACCTAAATTTTGGAAAAAAAATTTTGACTAATCTGATGATATCGTATTTGATATATATATGCGCGAATCCAAAGTTTTTTTTTTTTTGATTAATCCAAAATATTTGCCAAACAGAGTCACTTAAAATTATTTTTTTGTAAAACTTTGTAAATTTTAGCCTAAAATAAAAATACTGAAATTTTTTAATCTTCGGCGAGCCACCTATGAATGACTGCCTTCACGTGTTCTCTTGTACGTGTCAAATCGGTTGGATCTGATGGTTGTGGAGATGAAAGATCTCTGCAATGTCCGATTTCCTGGCCAACGATTGTGTGTACGTAACAGTTTGGACCAATCTTATCAGAGTCTTCAGCTGTGTAGCAAACAGGTGTCCAAGGATCTTGTGATCCTGTAAGATAGTAAATTCTTGATGTCTTCTTGAGAAGATCTCCCCATTTCTGGTTCCATGCGTCTGTATCTGGTGTTTTCATCTCATCGGAAAAGACTGTCTTGCACTGGTTGAGGAAGAAGTCCTGTGTAACCTTCTTAGAACGTAATGTCAATCTTCCGGAGTTGACTTGCCAGTATGCGAGCTCGTTGCATGTCATCCAGAGCCAGGCACGTGGGCCATTTGGTGTTGATGTAACGCTGAGACGTGAATTCGAGTATGTTCCGATGATATCATCATCAGCGTAATTTGGAGTAAAGATTTCGCGAGTGTACTTGGCAATGGCCATGACAGGATCGGCTCCTGTGATGAGTGTGTCCTCTAATGGCCCGCAAAGTTGCTGGCGACGGCCATATTGAGCACCAAGAGAGAAAATTTCACCGAGAACAAGTGGGAAGTTCTCCTTTTCGAGGCCGGTCATGTTGAAGGTAGCAAGAAGCCAGTCTGGATCTGTCTCAAGAAGCTCGTCTGTTCTACGGCGAATTTCACGGGCGACAGAAGCACAGGATTGGCCAAGAGAGATGGCGATCTGACGGTCGAAGTCCTCGTAGTTGTTGCTAGCAATGACGACACCGGAGGAAGCAATGGAAGCATGGAATTCCTTTGGATATTTGGCTCTTGTGTATGCGGATAAGAGACCTGGGTATGATCCGCCGACAAGGATCCACTTGGAGTCGGTCATTTTGTATTGCTCGACCATTTTGACCTTGAAGTTGTAGAGATCGTCAATTGCGTTGTCAACTGTGAGATATTTGATGTTTGGATAGGATAAATCTGTTGGGAATGATTCACCGAAGTAGCGGTGCTCAAGCATGAAAAATGCAGCGTTGAATTCCTTGCAAAGAGTTGCCATATAATCATTGAAAGCGCGTGGTCTGAAAGTATCGGATTCGCCACCGATGAAAAGAATTGCTGTCTTGTTATCTGTTGTATAATCGAAGAGAGCTTCATAGCGTTGCTTAAATGTGCCTTTTTGTGGATCTGAGTGATCTATGTTCTGAGAAAATGTTAAGAATGTATAGTTATCATCACCAAGGATACGGCGGCGTAAACGGCCTGGCTCCATCAGGGATGAAGAAAGGGAAATCAATAATCCGAGCATAGTAATGGCCTGAAAAAGTGACATTCTAACTGCAATTTTCAAAATAAAAGTCACTTTTTTTATCCCTTTTTCATCATCAAATCGATTTCGATTGGATTTTGCAATAAATGACTTTTTAGCTTGGTGTATTTAAGAATGGCTGCATAATGCAAGTGTTTTACAGCATATTGTGATCTCGATTCATTGAAATCATTCGATCTGAACAATGCAATCTTCACAAATAGATTTTAAATAAATAATTATTAAAAATCTATTTTATTGGAAGTAAATAATTGATAACATTTCTTGTTTAATCTTATTCATGACTTAAATCATAAATCAGTAGCCTATTACTCCAAATTTTTGTGTAGATCGGATTACCTATCATTGCTATATTAAGAATTGTAACCTAAATTAATTTTCATATTTAATCTCATTTATCTAAAAAATTTCTATTAGATAATGAAAATACTTAGAGAGTATGAATGAAAGAAAGTGAAATTACTACAATTTATATAAATTAAATAATAAAATTTTTTAATTATCTATATAAACATTAAAATACACACGTGTATAGTGATTGCTCGGCTCAATTTTACTAAATTATCACGCATTGTTCTGGTAAATTGTATGTTTTCTTCTCAAAATTGAGAAATTTAATAAAATTATTTAATATGACCAAATTTCATATTCCATCAAACAAATTAATTTGAGGTTAATGTAATCAATACCTATTTTTCAATATTTGAAGTAATATTACTCAAGATCTGCAGCAATCATTACTAAAAAGAGAGTTTCTGTTTGACTGATAGCTGCTCCTATTCCACAATATCTTAATGATGAGAAAACCAGCTCTTTGAATTTTGGATCATGAGTTATCATATTTGTAATAGAAGTAAGAGGATCTGCTGTCTTTATCATAAATCCTGCTGCATACAAAGGTTGTAATAGTGGTTCTCTTGTTGTATCTTGATATTTTTCCCACTCAATATTATCAAGAGAAATGTTTCCTTCTTTTAGTTCATTAGCAATGAAAAATGCCATATTATCTAAGTACTCTTCAGGAACAAGTTTTGGTCTTTTCTTTGATAATCTAATTTGTGAAATTGAATCATATATAATTGTGGAAAATTTATGTAAGGATGGATCAACTTCGAATTTAGCTATTTGTAAACGTAATTTGTTTTTGGCCTCATCGTTTTCTGGTGTTTTTTCAACTTCATTCTTTTTCATTCTTAGAATTGTTCGTGCTTCTGCTAGATACACTAATACCTTTATGTCTTCTACTTTCCCTGTTGCCTCTTTTATTTCTAAAAAATGAGCAATAATTTCTGGAATTTGTAATTCTGGGTGAAACTTAATGTAATGATTGATATTTGCGCTTGGTATTAGTGGGAAAAGATCGCATATAAGTTTTTTAGTCTTATAATCTGACTTACCAATAGGTTCATGAGGTTTCATTATGAAAAAAATGAATTTTTTTATCATTAATCATATATTAGCTCATACTACAGGTAGTAATTTATAACTTCTTTAATCTTATTTAGAACTACCAATATTCAAATTTATATTCTCAATTGATTCAACAATTGTCCAGATTACACTTGAACATTCCCTTTTTATTGATAATATAACTTTATTTATACTACATTGCAGAATGATATACTAAAGTTATAGTATATATATATAACTTATTCTAAGTTTGCAAAAGCACATTTAAAATGCTTAAAAACACTCACTTCTTGAATACATAGTGGTTGCTAACGTAGTTATCTGCAGAACTGTATAATGAAATCGAATTTAAAGAAAAAAAAAGTAAAAATATTAATGCTCAATAGTTTATCATCTGTGTCTTAATCTTAAGTTATAAGCATTAAGACAAACTGGACATTGTGGTTTGGTAATTTCAAATTCAATTGAATCGTTGAATCTAGTTGAAGAGCCTTCAAATATGAGATCGATTTTGTGTTTTCCATATTTTGAATCAAGTGGAATATCAATGTGAATAGTGAATGGATTTGGTTTATCACTTTGATTTAAATGAATATTTGAATGCACAAGAACTTTACCATCAAGAATTGTTATGATATTGATGAAATCATTTAGTCCCAAATTATTAATAATACCTTCTATGTCAAAGGTCTTTCCCTCCTTTAATGAAAACTTGTTAGGATAACTGATGATGCTCCAATTGATATTAATTGTCATACAATATTTATTTGAAAAATATGATATTTTAGGATTATACAATTCACAATTCGTGATGTTAAAATTAATATGTTGATCTGGAATAAATATAGTATAATTACCCTCATTATTTATTATTTTAGTTTGATCGATTGTGAAATTGGAACATGAATAAATTATTGCTTTTTCGTTATAAAAGCATTTATTTGAATCAAACACACACATTGTAATATTGTATGGGCAATCGAAAACGAAACAACTTCCTAATTTGGAGGTATTATTCTTGAACATGCAAAATTGAATTGAAATTATATTTGAACTCAAACAGTTCACACAATTACCGTTACCTGATGAATCAGTAATATTGTTACAATTTTGACAATGATATAGATTTAAAATTAGCTGGTTGCCTTCTTCTTTGTCTCTGATTATTGATGAATCATTGAAAAAAGAAAGATTTTCTGAATTGCATATAATTTGGTATAATGGTAAATGCATGCAGGTATTGTATTTCATTGATGTTCTCTTGAGAATCATTGAATGGATATCCAGATATATTAAGGTTGTTTCTTCGATATTGCATGAATCAAAAACACAATTATATAATATAGCATAATTGTTCGTATTTTCTATAGTAATGATATTTGAATCGAATTTAATAAATACTGTATCGTGAATTGAGAAGTTGTTTGAAATGTTAACAACTTGTGCTTTCGTAATTTCTTGAAAATTGATGTTTGGATCGAAGTTTTTTACATAATACTACTCCCATTTAAAATAAGATTCTTCATACTCTTTCAAAATATGATGGTTTTCCCCGATATATATGTTTTTTGAGAGCATATCACATATATTTCCATGAATTAACGAGTCATTAATCGTAATGTAAATGATATTTTGCAACTTGACCATCAGTGGTAAAAAAATAAACCATTTAGTATTCATGTTTAGCAGCACTTTTTGGTAAATACCTTATTCTCGCAAAAATTGTCAAATCAGATACATTATTAATTGTTGTTTAATTATAGTCACAATCATAGTCGCAGTCCGATTTTATTCTTAATACAATAATAAATCGAAAAACGGTTTTTTCGGGTAAATTGAATATATTGTCCTAGGCTGAATCGAACTTATGGATAACAACATCCAAGTTTATGATTAGCTAAATGGTGAGTAAATTTCCGAATAACTCTTGAAATTGTCTATAATTGATTTCGTAATTTTTCCAAGAAATTGAATATTTGTGTATATTGTTAATTGGATATATAATATACGAATTTAAATCATCTTTAAACATTACTTACAATCAAAATATGGAAAATGTTTTTAAGGGTCCACTGTAAGGCCAAATAAGGTCTATCGTCGTCCCAAAAATATTGCTCGTGATGGTGTTTTACTAAGGCCCAAAACTTAAAAAAACACAAAAAAATTAACTTTACTCTTTTGAGATCCTTATCAGATATGCATCAATTTGATGCAGTATCGCAGTTCAAATCTGATTTTTTAATGTAGATGTACTCTAACATCCTTTAAAAAATGCAAAATGATATTAATTAAGCTTTTCATTTCTGTATCATACACAAAACAAAATCGTTCATTATACTAAAATTTATCAAAGTTTGATTAATGAAAAAATAATATCTAAATTTTTACATTGAGTCGGCTATTGATATGGTTAATATTAAATCTTGTAAAAATTGGCATTATCCAGAATAATAGGGAAAACCGCAACCACTTTTTTAATCACGATTTAAATATATAAATCGCGATTTTTTAGAAAAATCGCGACTTTTTTAAAATCGCGTTTTTTAATGAATTGCGATTTTATTGTGGTCGCGATTTTTCTAAAAAATCGCGATTTTTATGGAAAATTGTGATCAAAATTAAACGCGATTTTCTTTATCAATCGCGAACATAGAACAAATCGGAACCATGATTTTGGACCTCATTAAGCGAAAAGGTCGCAATTAAATTCAATAACAAAGCAATTCACAAAGATTTTTTGAATCTAGAATGGCTGTTTATCCATTTTAGACTGCTCACAATATGGTTTTTCTGCATACTTGCCGAAATCAGAGATCTAAAATCAAACAATCTCGATAACAAATACCTCAATCCCACTTTACTGGTCAAAATTCTTGAAGTCTTACTTTACTGCACTAATTAATCATAATTTACCTTTAACTAAAAAAATATTACATAAATCTAACAAAAAAACCTTTAGCAATAAAAATACATTTGCTCAAGCCTATCGGCAACTTATATCGAAAAAACTTTTTATAACATTCTTATTACAATTTTTATTTTATTCTTATATTTATATTTTTGAGAGAGGGTCAAAGTTGCTATTTGTCACTTTTCCACAAGAATATAATGGGGAAAAAGTTATCATATAGTTGATCTCATTCACTGAGGTGAGAGATGCATGTAGTGTAATGGGATAAACAGTGTTATTGCTGCTCTAAGTCCTAGGTTCGAGACACATTAGCTTCATTTTTCTCTTTTTTATTGACGTAAACTATTCAATTTTTGTGTTCTCCATTCAAATTTCAGAATTTTTTTTGCAGATTTCACGCTACATTCGAAGTTACCTTTTGTAACAACCACCACTGCCTACGAAAGACGAAAGTGTGTCACGATTTCACCCGGAAATCCGACGGTTGTTTAAGAGTAAGCACTTTTGGCACCTACTCTTATATTTTTTAGTTCACTTTTTAAATAATGATCTTTAGATTGAACCAATAACGCGATTTTCCATATAAATCGCGATTTTTTAGAAAAATCGCGACCACAATAAAATCGCAATTCATTAAAAAACGCGATTTTAAAAAAGTCGCGATTTTTCTAAAAAATCGCGATTTATATATTTAAATCGTGATTAAAAAAGTGGTTGCGGTTTTCCCTAATACCCACTAAAATACACAATTTTTTTAAAAAAAAATTTTATCAATTGTTATGGTATATCTTTATGATAATGAATAAAATGCTTATTTTTCATAAGTAAATACATAATTTATGCTTAAACACAAAAAATAACACGAAAATTTTTGGCCAACATATCTAAACTAAGGATAATGGTTTGAATATATAAACAATAATACTTTGTCCAGGGAATTAAATTTGTGCTATCCAATTGTCAATTCTTTGAATTTTTTTTAAATGCAAGATATCCTGGCATTAGCCTCAATAAATATATATATTATGCATCATAATATTAGTTTGTAATGGCATTAAAGCGAAATTCCTAATTTCTTCTCAATTAAATTCTTTGAAAAACATTGGAATTAATGATTGGAAATAGGTCAAAAAATTCCTAATATAAAACTTATACTTAAGAAAAAAAAAAAAAAAAAAAAAAAAAAGGTAGTGGGGCTTCCAGGCACTTCGTGCCCTCTAGCCCCTAAGAAATTTTGTCACTTTTCAGGAAAAAACATTTTTATTATATATATAAAATGAATTTTACAAAACCACCGTTACCCTTCTTTGGAAATAAGAGTAGATGTAAAGATATTCTATTGAGAGAACTTAAGAAACTACCGAATGGTCTAACATTTGTAGATTTGTTCGGTGGAAGTTTCTATATATCCCATTTGTGCCATACTGTATTTCCTGACTCAAAGATTATATGCAATGACTTCGACAACTATATGAACCGTCTCAAACATATACCAGACACAAACAAAATATTGAAAGAGTTAAAAGAAAAGATACCTATAGGTAAGATGGAACGTATACCATTAGATAAGAAAAATACTGTCAGAGAGGTTTTGAAAAAGGCAGAGTATATTGACTGGGATAGTATATCTGCTAGACTATTATATAGTGGTGCTATAAGAGTTCATGACATTGAAACACTTATGTCAAAAGTTTTATATCTTAACTATACAAATGTTTTCAAAGAGAACATAGAAAAAATATATTGAGGGTATAGAGTTTGTGAGATGTCATTGGACAGAGTTGTATGAAAAATATAAAGACAAGGAAAATGTTTTCTTTATAGTGGACCCGCCGTTCTATAACACATGGGATTTTCAATACCAAGTAGACTGGACTTTGAGAGACTCTTTAGAAACTTTAGACGTTTTACATAACCATCCATGCTTTTACTTTACATCCGATAAAAGTGGTTTGGAAAGTGTCATGAGATGGTTAGAGGACATACATGACTATGAGTTTAGATACGATAAGATAGAATATGAGAGAGGTCCTATAAACTGGAGAAAGTGTCATAACAAAGAAATTTTACTAGTAAGTAAATGTGGTTTGAAATAGGA